AAATAGAATGATGGGGCAGTTGTTTCTTCTCCATCCCACGGGTAGAGCTGTCCTCCTCTTCTGACTTGCAGAGATGCAAGGGCTTGCGCTCGCTGTGCATGGATGCGGCGCAGTATGTGTAGGGAGGATCCCAGCTGACCTTGGAGATATCAGAGCAGTGGTCGCTTTCTCCTTTCCGAAATCCGATTTCGTTTGGGTTCTTGAAGGACGAAACTGGACTACCGGTACAGGGACCACCTGCGGCTGTGTTCTTGTTGGTGGTGACAGATTTAGTCAAAAACGTAGATCCCGAGTCCCAACGCTGATGGGCGGTGCTGAGCAAGTGCGGAAACTTGGCCTTGGGGATCGTTCCTGAGGGAGACATCTCTGCAATTGCGGCCTTCCTCGCTTGCACTGCCGCTTCTTCTTGAGCTTGCTCTTGCTTGCGTGCACGTTCTTGTAGTTCCTTGCGGGCCCGGGCTTGCCGACGAGCGTCCTCGTACCTATGGATCGGTCGACGTTCTTCCTCTTCTTTTGCTCGTCGATGCTCTTCCAGCTCGTTCATTCGTCTTTGGTCTTCTTCTTCGTTCTATTCTTCTTCATAGTAGTCGCCGCGTTGGATTACCGGCTGAGGAGCAGCCGACCAGCGGTCGTAGTACCGGTCGGATTCAACTTCGCCAAAGAAGCTTGGAACTTCACTGTGATAGGACTGCTTATGCGGAAGCGGTGAGCTACTGGTAACCTGAGGGTACAGGCTGGATTTCTCACCGCTACCGAGGGCCTGGCTGTCATGGTAGTAACTGTAGCTGTTTCCTTGAGGTCCGCTGATCTCATGATGATGGTGCTTGTATGCCATCGCCTCATAGTAGGACTCATCGTAGGTTCTCGACACCATCTTGCTTAACTAATTTGCTTTGGTGGCTTTGTTGCAGCTTGTGGTTTTATGATGGGTACTCGAGTAATGGAGTTGCCTTGCTTGAATTTGTGAACGACTCGTACGATGTATGCACAGCTGCAGCAACGCAGCAACCTTCCCCAAAACGTGGAGGTGATCAAATGAAAGAGGGACAGTTGCCGTTTAAATTCTGAGCACGCAAAAGGTGGTACTTTGTATGTGTACTGGTACTGGCCACGTACTGTACCGGTAACAGTAACAGTAACAGAAACAGTGTGGTACTCCAGTAGTTTCCACCGCCATCCACCAATCACAACGATGTTAATTAAATACTCAGTACCGTATCCAGATCTACACGTGCCCCATCAGCTTACCCCATCGTACAATAATCAGGCTGGGACTTGTAAAAGAACACAAGACATAACGAGAAGAGGCCTTTTAACCTTGAGACATGCAATGAAGATTTAAAAACAAATATAAAGCATTGGATCGCTTTCTGAGTGGTGGACCGTCTATTAATTCAGCGATGTCTTGCCTTCGCTTGAATTTCCCCTTTGGCATTAGAACTCGGGGTCGGATTAAATCATGCTTGGATCGCTCATGAACAGCTCATGAACACTCACTGGTTATTCCTTCGTGCGAGGCTGTTGTCTCCCAAACTTTCGCAACCATACATTCGTACATTTGTACGATCCCATTTCTGCTCATGGCATTCAGCAACCGAAGTCGGGGCTCTTCCATTTCGCTAGAGTATAGATGAATGGCTTGTAGGATTTGCATACGCTGCAGGGAATACATCGACATACTTGGGCAAAGGGTGGCATACTTTAGTAAATGTACTACCGGTAGTATGACACCCGTGTATGATACACTGTACGATCCCAATACTCCTGCTTGCTAACTGGTCGTACAGTATCGTCAAAGTACTACCGCGAAGTAATCTTAACCTGCGGATGTGATGGTGTGTTCTTCAGGTGTGCTCTCGGGTTCCCCATAGTTTTGCTTCCTTTCGCTGGCCAGCTGGCAGCTATCATAGCCAGTAGTACTACCGGTATACGGTATACGGTAGACCTGTGCAGATGTCAACAATGTTTGCTGACTGTTGACTGTGCATCCAGGGCTGGCTACCGTACCCTACGGTAGGTGGGTGCAGAAGTGGGCACGGTGGAGTTTTCGATTGTGATTAAACATATCATACCAGCACGCAAAGGCAGGTTCTCACGACCAGCATTGTTCGTACGGGTAACTAAGGTATGTATGCATATTGCATATGTTACCTATTGCTGCTTGATGGCTGGTTGTTCACTTACATGTATGTATAGTCCTTATTATTACGGTCATCATGCATTACCTAGCTAGCTAGTGTCCGCTGTTCGCGCAATTCCGGACTGTCTGCCATTGCCATGTAGGCTGGCTCAATTAATTAGCAAACTCGTGCTGTTTGGTACCTTACTGTAGTACATGTATGCAGCTAGAAAGCTAGAGAAGCACCGGAATCAACAATCCCAAGAGGAGCAAGACCAAATTGTACTTCCACACGAACCGTCCAAAACGCCTGGATAGTCCAAAAAGTGAGGGCCTGCTACCACTACTGGCACTGGCATTTAAATTTCCTCCATTGGCAACTTCATCGTTGTCGCTTGCTGGGGCGGTGGCTTCTCCTTCGTCTGCGTCCTGAGTTATGTCAGTGCTGAGAGCAGAGGATGGGGCAACAAGCTTGACGAGAATTTCCTCCCACTGTACAAGTGGAAACAAATGTGCCGTATCATTGAGGATGTGCAGGGTACTGTTTGGCAAGATGGAATGTTGATAGACACCTGATTGAGCGGTACATTCTGGTCAATTTCTCCCTGCCAGACATCAATGTGGACCATGGGGTTGATATCTTGGAGTCGAAACTCCCAGGGACGGTTGATGACGAGATCGTCTTGTGCCGGACCGGGTGCCCCCTGACGGTAGCCCTCTTTAATGTTGCCCCCCATGAGAGTCTGAAGATCGGGACGTCGTGCAACTTCCAGGTCGTCCAATCCCACACCACCCGATCCCAACAACATTCCAATCTGGGAGGCATTGGACGCCTGCAAGAAGGGAGCGAGTTGTCCTCTGAATTCCAAAATGGCCGTTTCATTTTGATCGCGGGCCCATTCCATCCACATTCGAATTTGCGGTTCGTCCATTCCTTCAAAAGGATTGGGACGATCGAACGGTCCAATGCCACTGAGAATGGCGCCGCCCAACACACGTCCCGAGTTTCCAAATTCGTGTGCCACTGCCAATGCGTAACTTCCCCCGGCCGACCAACCTTCAATGTAGAATTGGTCTACACTAATGTGATCCAGTAGTTGCGTCACATCCGTGCGAGGCCAGTCCAGCAGTGTGCGACCATCGGGCACGGGATCCGAAAACCCATGCCCGGGACGATCCACCGTGATAAAGCGAATGCCCAATTCCTTCAACAGTTCTTCATTGCCCGGCCATTCGAGTCGGGATCCACCGGAACCGTTGCAATGCAACACCACGGCAGTGGCTTCCTCGGCACTGGCACCAAACTCGCAGTACGCCAACGTGCGGCCGTCACTGAGCTCTAACGTAGGAGGAGCGTCAAGGCAACGTTGGCCGGCAGAGTCTTCCTCCATGGCCTGACCTTGCGACAAGGACAAAGTCAAGAGGAAGAACAACAGCAGCAAGTAGTGGGATGGCAACGACATTATGATTTTGATTGATTGCTTTCGTGATTTTCGTATGTTTGTGTTTTGTAGTTTGTAGTTTGTGTTTTGTGGGCACATGATGTTGGTTGTCGGCGATTAGTCGTTCTGTAATTCAAGCATGCTCTTGCTTTGCATCAACGCAATCATGCAATCATGCTTGGGCTCAAGTCAAGCTCTACAATGTCGCCTATTTGTAACGAAAGATCTTAGTGCACTTTCCACTCTTGGTGAAGATGGATTCTCATTCATGATGTGCTCTTGGTGCAGAATAGTTCTCATTCGTCTCCATGGCATTGAAGCACAAAGATCAGGCATTTTTGGGAGGCAGCTGTTGGAGGAGCAAAGCACGCAATGGGAACTGGAGTTGGATCTTGTGGACGGCCGTAAGCCACCCAGCGTTTCGTAAGACCAAAGGTGTCATTCGTGTTAGCTAAAGTACGACTTGACTGGCGCTCAAAGAGAACTCAAGCACCGCAAGAAGCAAGCATGAATTGAAAAACAGAATGACACAGGATGCAGGATGGACGAGAGGTGCAAACCCCAAAAGGCATCAGCCACAATTTCACCCTTGCCCCTACAGTAGTCGTACCATCAACATGAATGCTGTTGTGGTTGTCATTTTGATTTCCGTCCGCGCTCTGCAAAAACTCTTCCGTATGTAAAGGAAGCAAAGCAGGGTCCGGCAATTGCTCACGTGCTTGACGGGAGCAATGCCCTCCGGAGCGCTGGTGAGGTCCAAGACGTATCCTCGGATCAGATCGAGTGGATCCACTGTTTGTCCCTGGAATATGTCCGCTTTGTGCAATTGCGGCTTTCCAAAGACGATCGTACCGGTATCCTCGAAGTGTTTCCTGAGTGACTACGAGGAACAAGGAAAACGAGAAGCACTTGCCCAGGTCGAATGCCTACTGATAGTTTACGTAGCGTGGGACCAGGCCTTGGCATTGGAAGCTACGGGCTATTGACTAGAAGAAGGCGCCGAAGCGAAGCTCCGTTTTGTCGCCAGCTTGCAACACTTGCTTTGTGCGCGTGATCGTATCACTCCTCTGAAATCAAAAGTGACTCGGACTCAACCAACACCAAAAACAGCACAAAACAGATAAACCAAACGAACAGGAGCACCGAACGCCACCGTCCTTGCTCTCACATTGATCGTTGCAATTAGACTATTCTGGCTGAAACTGTCATCCTCCAGATCCTCCAGATCTTTGTCTCCGTCGCGGTGGTGAGGATCTTGAGTGCAATGTTGTAGAAGTAATCATCTGCTGGACCTGGAGGCTGGAGGTACATTGCGCGAAGGCTTTCTGCTTTCAAGCGAATGAATCAAGATCTCCGCTTTGTCCAAGGGTAAACGTCAAGTTGTCAAGTTCCCTCCAACCCGGTTGATCGAACACCACCGAAACCCAAAAGTAAAGCAGTGAGGCTGCCAAGTACCGGGAGAAACATAACACGGCGTACCAATACATGAGATACATGTATCTTTTCTCGGATTAATTAACAAAAAAAGGCAAGCGGGTTCCGTACAGTACATGTACTTGGTTAGAAAGGCTATCTAAAAAAGAGGAAGCCAAAGAGCAACAGAGGAAGCATACTACAGTGTAGTAGTTTGTTTCAGCAAACACCGGTACTAGCCAGATCTAGTATCGCCTCCAAAACCTGAATGAGAGGTTGCGACGTTGCGATACCTTTGAAAGATTAATGTTCAGCCATCCTTCCGCAAAGGGCTCCATTCCTGACCCGACTACCGGTAATGCAGAGAAGCAGAAACGATACTAAAGTGCAAGCAGTACTCGAGAGTATAGTGTATGGATATGTAGCCATCTCTAACTCCTGGCTTATAGTGAACGAATAGTGCAACTCACTTACTTTTCGTCGAATAAGCGGCTGTGGATCATCTGAAGAACCCGATGCCCCAAGGGGAAATTAGAGCCTCCGCATTTGATCTCCTCAGCAAGCTCCTGCAATCAGGCAAGCTGCTGGTGTTCCGAACACTGGCACCAAAAGTTGAACATGTTGTGCAGCAACTCGAGGCGATCCCTTCCCAGTTCAGTTGCAAGGGGTAGATAATCAATCAACAGCTCTTCTCCATCAGCAATGTCTCTCTTGGCAACCACATACACCTTTCCCTGATGAATCGTTCGGTTCACATTGGCAGCATCGCCACAGGCATGATTGATCCTACAGAGCTCCTTGAAGAGAAGGTTTGCTTCCAAGGAGCCGTCGTGGTATGCATTGGTACGCATAATCCCGCCAAGTGTTTTGAGATTGCATGGCTTGATGGATCTCAAAACAGACTTGCTTTTGCTCTTGTGTTGTTCTTGGCCCCCATTGCAACCATCACACCAAATCGGTTCTCGTCCTTCTCATCCTTCTTGGATATTTCGCCGTACTTACCATTCAGCTTTTTGCCTGCCTCGGAAGCCAGACCATGAATTTTGACAGTATCACCTACCCGTGCTTGACGGTGGGAGTCTTCAAGCTGCCAAATCTCATCTTTCTGCGTTGACCCTTGCACGTAGGCTGTGGCGTTGAGCTCTGCCAAACGGCCCACTGCATCTTTATGAGCAGTACTACTACATGTGCTACTAGCAGCGCTCGTACTGCCGCCATCCAGAATTCCAATCAAAGACTGATACTCAGGATCCACAGAGAGAGAAGGATGGTTCTTGGTGGGCTGGATGTGCAACGCCTTCTCAATGAGTACTACTGCACCTGCTTGAATGTGATTGACGGCCACAACATGCGTTCCTCGCAGGTTGCTGTGAGCCATCTTGAAGTAAGTCGCCTTCTTTCGGTTGTAGACGACTTCCATCATTGGAAGCAACTGGACCATTGCGGACATGTTCTGAGATTTTCCTCTAGCTAGCTGGACCTAGCTAGCTAGTAGTAGCTGGCTTGGGCTGGGTCTTCCTTTCTGTCTTTCGCAATTACCGGTCGGTAGCAGACTAGCTAGACTACTACTATTGAATGACATTCATCGTCGCTGTTGATTGTTGATGCACGCACAATGCCTTGCCTTGCATCGACCGATCAACAACAACAGCTGCGCAACAGCTGTGAAAGCATTCTCAATCCACGGTAGCATTACAGACTCCACGGCCGCGTTGCGACTTGTTGACCACGTTGTTGTTCCGACAACACTATTTTGGTCTGTCAGCGTGTACGGAACCAACATTCCACGTGGAATAATGAATCATTGGAGAAGGGATGCAAGTTGGCACGGTCCTCGTCTTTCCTTCTCGTGCGAGTGCAGTCTCCACATGATGCACCCGGGCAACAATTCGGTACCGTCGCAATGAAACGGCCTTCCTGTTCTTGGGTGTAGGCACGAGGCAAGAGGATGACTCATGCCGCGTCTATGCATAGCTAACTAGACTTGGCTCTGAGCATCAGGCGTCGACCGTAGAAGTTTCTGATGGGAATTTCTAAAGACAGCCAGAAGACGCCTTCGAAGCAACAGCATGCCGGCTTCCAGCAAGACCGTACTACCATCCTGATTGGAAACGCGTGTAGTTTTGCTAAAGCAAGAAATCGCGCAGGGTTTGTTGGCCGACGAAGATAGAGGAATAGATCAGAGCAAGGAGGACGAGATTCAATTATGCGGGAGATGCTTGCAAATCTTTTAGCGCAGCAGGGGAAAGGTCGGGGTAGATTATGTACGTGGACGTTATCCGGCTGTACCAACCTTCGGACATCCGAAACAACATTGCAATGGATCGGCTCGTACAACACATCAGAAGCGGACCAATCGGAATGACGTTCCTTTCCGATTGAAAGGAGAAAAGATTGCCGTACAGTAGCTCCGTTCGCTTCGCACAAGCCTGAAATACCGTATCTCGAATGACTGATGAGCTCTTGTGGAAAGAAAGAGAGGCAGAACCGGATTCGATTCGATTGGGATTGATTCGATTCCCCCTAACTATTAATAGTAACTTTAGAAAGCAAACCTGTAGACCACTATTATTTTTCTAAGCTGCTGCTAAATACAAAGTCGCGGATGCTCTGCTGCCTGCTCTTCCTGGGATTGCTTCTGCAAGTCGCTCCGCCCACTTGCTCTTTTCTTCTTCATCTTCTTCTCAGTTCCTTTCTCTTTTCTGTTCTCTGCCTTCGTCTGTTGCCGCCCCTTTGCTCGTTTCTTCTTCCTCTCGCTTCCTTTCCCGGCATCCTTTTCCTTTTCCTGGCTGCCTCCAATACCAGCTCCCTTGCATTGCTTTGTCCTTCTCAGAACCTTTCTTGGTTGGCCAACCCAGCTTGTTCTCAATCTTGGCCAGTTCACATTTGTTTTTCCGCGGAATCTGCTTTTTTTGACCACGGTGACACGGCCACCGCAGCTTGCCTTTTTTGTTGGCACGTTTGTGAACTTGAACCCTGGCCTGACCACCAGGCGGCCCCAGCTTCTTTTCTTTCTGAAAATTCGCTTGTACCTTCCCTCGATCACTGTGACACCGCAGTTTTCCTTGTTTCTCTGTTTCTCCTTTGGCTTCTTAGCCTTCTTGGCCTTCTTAGAACAATTCCCAGCAGACTGCCCCGGCTTCCGTTTCTTTCCAATAGCAGATTGGTGGGTGTGGGCATGGGCATGGCTGCCAGTGGAGGTGATGGATGTGAGAGTGCCGCCTTTGTTGTGCTGGTTTGCCACGGCTGTTGTCGTGACATCTAGCTCTTCAGGGCTGTGGTCAATGATGGATTCTCCTGCGCAAGTACTGCCAGAAGGGGTGCTCATGCTGTTGGTGGGATCCTTCAAGCTGTCAGTTGAGCCAGAACCGTTGTCGTTAGCAGTTTCATTGCTGGCAATGCAAGCTTTGTTGCCATCATAGTCCTGGTTGGCTACTTCGGTGGTCGTGGTGTGAGGACTACTGTTGCTGGCTGTGTGATTGTCCTTGCAGAGGCTGTGGTCAATGTTGGATTCTCCTGTGCAAGTACTGACAGAAGGGGTACTCATGTTGTTGGTGGAACCCTTCAAGCTGCCAGTTGAGTCAGAGCCGTTGACCTTAGCAGTTTCGTTGCTGGCAATGCAAGCTTTGTGGCCATCATAGTCCTGGTTGGCTCCTTCGGTGGTCGTGGTGTGAGGACAACTGTTGCTGGCTGTGTGATTGTCCTTGCAGAGGTTGTGGTCAATGTTGGATTCTCCTGCGCAAGTACTGCCAGAAGGGGTAAGAAGGTTGTTGGTGGGACCCTTCAAGCTGTCAGTTGAGCCAGAGCCGTTAACCTTAGCAGTTTCGTTGCTGGCAATGCAAGCTTTGTTGCCATCATAGTCCTGGTTGGCTCCTTCGGTGGTAGTGAGCTTGTCACTTTGGCAATCATCTTTGCTGCTGATGTAGGCAGTGGCAGTGTCGTTGGTGTTGGTGTCGGTGTCATTGCAAGTCGGGCCAGTGGTAAGACAAGCTTTGTTGCTCTCATGGTCCTGGATGGTTCCTTGAGGGGCGTGAGGACTAGCGGTGGTGGTTGTCTGATTGTCCTTGCTGCTGTTGGGGCTGCAGTCTCTGCAGCTGCTTCTGTCATGTGCCCGAGGGTTGCTATCAGTGTTGGTGCTCTGTGGCCGCCCGCCTTGATTGGGCGTAATGACAGTAGCAGCAGTGCGAAGATTGGTTTGGCTGTTGTGCTTCGTGTTAGAATCCGTGCTGTTGCTTTTGGAACCACTGATGGAGATGGGCATGGTGTCAGTGTTGATGGAATCCCTAGAATCCTTGGTGTAGGCTTGGTGTGAACTGCTGCTAGCGGTGCTCGTTGCATCCATGTGTGTTTCAGTTTGGTTACCGGTACCATCCTTGTTGGAGTGTCCCAGGGTGCTGACAATGTTATTGCCTTTGCTGTTTTCCACCATTGCTTTCATCGTGTCATCATTATTGCATTCCATATAGCCATGGTTGCTGCCATCGCTGTCACTCATGCAAAGGCTGCTAAAAGTAGTGCTATTGGCTTCCCCTGATCCCTCCTTTGGGCTCACCACACTTGCAATCACCTTATACTTGGGGACTTTCTTTGTTGGGTTGTCATTGCCAGACTTGGAATTGCTTCTGTTGGTAGTAGCATGGGGGCTCCCACTTGATTTGCTGCCACAGATATCCTTGGAGTCCCCCAAAGTTGTGTCATCCATGTCTCCGGAGGCTTTGGGGCTGTCGGTTATTGTGTTGTTGTGGTTGTTGGGCTTGCTTGTTTGGTTACAGTTGTCTCTGGATGCGGTTGCGTCATCTTGGTTGAGGCTGCTGCAGATGTCATGGCCACTGTTCTGTTCAGCACCAGTGCTACTGGTTTTTCTGCTCTCGCTCAAACTGTTGGTGGTGATACTGTTGGTTTCTCTTGCTGCCTCTTTTGGGTTGCCAACTTCCATCGCCACAGCTTCATTGTTATTTCCGTTGCCGTCGCTCATGCAAAGGCTGCTACTGGCTTTGCTGCTCTCGCTCAAACTGTTGGTGGTGATACTGTTGGTTTCTCTTGCTGCCTCTTTTGGGTTGCCAACTTCCATCGCCACAGCTTCATTGTTATTTCCGTCGCTGTCGCTCATGCAAAGGCTGCTACTGGCTTTGCTGCTCTCGCTCAAACTGTTGGTGGTGATACTGTTGGTTTCTCTTGCTGCCTCTTTTGGGTTGCCAACTTCATCGCCACAGCTTCATTGTTATTTCCGTCGCCGTCGCTCATGCAAAGGCTGCTACTGGTTTTGCTGCTCTCACTCAAACTGCTGGTGGTGGTACTGTTGGTTTCTCCTGCTGCCTCTTTTGGGTTGCCAACTTCCATCAGCACAGCTTCTTGTTATTTTCGTCGCCGTCGCTCATGCAAAGCTGCTACTGGCTTTGCTGCTCTCACTCAAACTGCTGGTGGTGGTACTGTTGGTTTCTCCTGCTGCCTCTTTTGGGTTGCCAACTTCCATCGGCACAGCTTCGTTGTTATTTCCGTCTCTGTCGCTCATGCAAAGGCTGCTACTGGCTTTGCTGCTCTCACTCAAACTGCTGGTGGTGGTACTGTTGGTTTCTCCTGCTGCCTCTTTTGGGTTGCCAACTTCCATCGCCACAGCTTTGTTGTTATTGTCGTTGCAAGCTTGGAACAGCTGATTGATCTGACTTTGAGTGAGATGAACTCTGCCAGTCTCAGAGTCCACAAGGACCATGCTTGCAAGAAGATATGCAAGAATAGAGGATTTGGAAGGAGCATTGTTGATGGAGGAAAGTTGGCAGGACCATTCGAAAATGTCATAATAAGCTTTTGGAAGCGCCTTGCCATCTCCCTGTTTCATAGAATGGAAGACAGTCTGAAGCAAGTTTTCGCGGATTTCAGACGGCTGGGACTGCTTGGAGTTTTTGATGCCATTGACTTGAGGGAAGTGGAGGGATTTCAAAGTGCCTTCACATTGATACTTGATGAAACGTTCCATTTCAGCTGCAACTTTCTCTGGCTTGGCGGCGGTTTGGACCATGTGCTCAATCTGTAGATGATGGTCCCAAGGGCAATAATAAACAAGGGACGCTCTGTCTACTAGATCCATACCACTCTCGCTCTCGTCGTTGTCATGGTTGCGACTGGACGACCTCTTTGTTTCGAGCAGATTGTCGGTTGGTTCCGTGGATCTGTTGATCGTGTCACTGTTTGTTGTTGGACGAAGGGTTTGGCCGCTGTGATTGCCGGGCTGGCCAAGGCTGGATTCTGTACTGCCCATTATGTTATTAGCGGCACCAAGACTGCAGGAATTAGTGCCTGTGTTGGCCCGAGGTTTGTTGTTGTTGGATGGCTGGTACGAAAGTGCATGCATGACGCGACGGACAGAACACAACAAATACCGGTCGGTTTCCGTATCCAGTTCCCCACGTAAATCGTAGTGCTCGCGGTACGCACCAAACGCCGTTCTTTTCAAGAGGGCATGTTGGTGAAGTTCGTCGAAATAGCTGCCTGGCTTGACGAGCGTCATTCCATAGATTGTCAAGAGGATTGGGAAGAGTTCCTGGAAGGTGAAGAACGGAAGGAGTCTGGTGGAAATCAAAGCTGCCAGAAGATGTTGAGTTATACCGGTAGAAGATTTCATGGGGAGCATCCAAGAATCGGTAGGCTGATGCTGCCTCAATTCCTTCATCCTTTTTTCAAACATGATAAACACAATCTTGGTTGGATGATTTTCCTCAATGGCTTTTTGCTTGTGGAGGGTAATATCGTCTTTGCCGAGAGCCACAATGCCATCATGGCACAAAAGATTGATCTGACTTTGAGTCAGTTGAACTCTCCCAGTGCGAGCATCCACAGGGACCATGTGCCCCAGAAGAATACCAAGAACAGAGGAACTGGAAGGGGCATTCTTCTTGTCTGATGACGAGTCGTTGCAGAACCAAAGGAGCATGTCGTAAACTGTTTTAAACTGTGTACCATCTCCCTGTTTCCATGCCTGACAGACCACATGAAACAACTGGTCACGCACATCAATATTTGTAGTAGGAGGAAGCTGGAATGGAAAGGACTCGGCGATGTCATTGACTTTATGGGGGTATTGCCTCAGTGCATCTCTGTAACGTATTTTCATGCAGAGTTCCATTTCCGTAGAATCATTGTCTTGTTCAGGATCCTTGTTGAAACAATCAATGGAGATAACAGGTTGTTGGCTGTCTTCGCCATCATCATCTGTACCGGTGGCACCGCTTCCATTTTGAGCCACTGCCTTGGAATCCATGGCCGAACCATCCATGATTTGATTGCTTCTTCAAACCGCAGCTGGACGCTAGCTAGCTAGCTATTTGCGAGGATCCGATCAACTAGTTGCTTGCTTGGTACTAATACTGTATTAGTGGACGGTTGGAGGTACAGATGAGTGCTAGCTACCTACCAGCTAGCTAGCCACTGCAGTAGAGCAGCACTTGATGCGCTCGAGCCGTCCTCTGTCATTGTTTCGTTTGGCGCCAAGATCTCGAAGGCTGTTCGTCTCCAGGCCGCTTCTCCTTCCGCGCAGATCTGCTGGCTCATGGCTGGAAAACACCCCTTTTTAGAAAGACACGTTGACTTCGACTTTGCGTCAAGGGAGACATCCTCAACTGTGAAGCCTTAGAACGAACCGGCAGGTTTTGTATTGGTACAGTAGTGTTTTACACAGCCCTACACAGACCGACGGTTAAATACAAAACCAGCCGTTATCGTTCCATTCGAAACGAACCAGCTACTTAAGGACGGCTGTGCCCCATCGGTCTCCGGCCTGACCATCGGGCTGTCGGGCTTGCGCCCTCCCTTAAGCCCTCGGTCAGACCTCCGACCTTCGGGTCCCTGCCTGACCCTTAAGTAGACGGTTCGTTTCTAATCAGTACGTACCTGTATAAAGAAGATGCCACCAAAATGGCAGCTACAGCACAATTCTTGTGAAGACAAATGTGAGAGGACAAAAGAGAGAGGACAAGCCCCATCCAAGAACGGCAACTGTTGATTTAGCTTTCTTGCTTACGTTTACGTTTCTGTCGTGCTTTCGGAAAGCACCATGGAACCTACACTTCGGCATCATCTCATAATGGTTTCTTGCCGATTCACACCACGTACATGGTTCTGTCTCACTAGACTAGCTACATTAGGCCTCCGCAAGGCCTACAATTTGCTTGGAGACCACCAGCTGTGTCACTGCAAACGGTATTGTCCATGCCTTCAGTACTTGCCCATCCGCTCGCAACAGTGCAAGTCGACTGCCAACTCGAGCTCTTACATGATGATGTTCCCCTGGAGCCACAAGTGCCTCGAACTTGCTGTTGCCAGAACCATTGTCGTCATCCCCACGGTCCCAAGAAAGATACGCAGTTTCCTGCTCGATATCAAGGTTGGTCACGACAAAGCTGATTCGTTTGCTTTGAGCTGATGCTCGAAGGGGTTCTTGTGGGAGGATGTTACGAAGCCTCTCTATTGGCTTAGTCTCGCCATCTACGTCGCCTTGATCTCCCTCTTGGTGCTCCAAGTAATCAAAATCAAAAATCTCGTCCTCGACGTCCGAGGCAAACCTGGTCTGACTGGTGAACGCATCAAATTCGGGGTCACTCTTTTCCTCCTCATCGTAAATGTTGGTATCGTAGTTGAAGTCGCGGAACCACTCGCGGGAAAAAGCCAAATAGAGTTGTGCCCGTGAATCCTCGCTAGTCAGTATATTGTTGTGACCTGCCCGATGCAGGACCTGATAGTCAAACAGGAGAGCATCTCCCACGTTGAGCAAGACGGACCGAAGATTGGAAGGTGGACAGGGCAACTGACGCAGGCCTTTGTTGTCCGATGTGTGCATTCGTTGATGAAACTCTAACAGAGAGTCAAACGTCTTCTTGTCAGCTCGGTCTTGTCGCAACAACTCCTCATTGTAGAGACGAAAATCATTTTTCTTTGTCCAGGATAGGAGCCCCGTTGTACTCGATGTCCCGACACAAAACTCAGTGGGTCCATGATCATGTGTCACGTTCAGCAGTGGCGAAAACAGATTGATGACGTATGGTGGCAAATCATGGCCTAGTAGTAGAATGGGAAAAAAGGATCAGATGCGATTGTGAAGCGACTACAAACTCAGATTGCTCCAATCTATATATGCATGTACCCCCAGGAACTTGAATTGGCTTCTCAATTGCACTTACCTGCCACTCCAAAATCTTCCCAGCTGTGTGTTGTATCAAAGAGATAATTGTCTTCTTCGTGCCATTGTTGGTGCGGAGCTCCCGGCTCCGTCACGACGGTCCCCAACGAATGCAAAATGTGGTTCGGCCCAAGAATCTGCGGTTGCCTCAAGATTTTGTTCACTTGGGGATTGCGAATCAGCTCGTCCCATGCGAGTTGAATCGGCAGCATAATCTCATATCGTTTCGTGGGATAGTCGGTGCTGTAAATGGCCCGTCGGGACGGTTCGATCTCTCCCTCTTGCAGGGCTGTCAGATATTGCGCAAGGGCTGGCTTGAACTGCTTTAGGATAAAGTTAGGACGATAGACGTTGCGGAGTACGAGTATTCGACACTTCTCCAGCACGTCGGTGGCTTCCATTGGATCGTAATCGTCGGCGTTGACATTGAACTCGCGGGTCATGCAGTCTGGATCGTCGACAATGTCGAGTACGTCGTCGACAAACCGATCGGCGTACAGAAACGAATGTCTGGAATTAACGGAGGAATCGCGACGGTTGCCATCTTGTTTGGCGGGTTGTTTGTCTAGCTTCGGGTTGTTCGTACCGGTAGTATCTTGGGTTGGAAAATACCGTTGTGCCGCTTCGAGCAGGAGCTTGTCGACTTGTTCTTGCGTTCGATTAGTACTCTGATTCTTGTTGCCCTCTAATAGTGATCGTGAATCCTCAAACGCCTGGTCCAAGATTCTTTGAACCGCGGCCAATGCTTCATCGTCCTTGTTTGTCGCGTCACAATCAGGAGTCGCCAACTCGCCGTGAACGCAACACAAGAGTCTGGGAACGCAAACAGCGACAATCAGGACGATGAGTGCGAATTTCGAAGCCCCCATGATGATTCCCAGGCAGGTCGTAGTCCTATATCATCCAAGCTTGGCAGAGGATTGGTTCTGTATTGCTTGTAGACTGACTATAACTAGCTACTAGGAGGAACGGTAACAACACGATTGGAAACAGGGGTAGCTTGCAAGATGTCGAGTTCTTCTTGCGAGCAACTAGCTAGCTACCGGTACACTAGATAGCACAACTAAGACTGTAAAGGAGCAGAGAAAGGAGATTTCTCGCAAGCGGGCTCTGGAACCAACCAGCGAGTGAGAGTCGATCCGTGAGGTGCAAACAGCCATCAGGCAGGACGCATCCATGGTGCACCGTGAAACTAGACTAATCATTGGACGCAAGAGGTGCTCCAAGCGTACGGTACCATACAGTAGCAATTGAGGCAAGCTTATCACCATTTCGATGAAGGGTCCGTTATGGGTGGGGACAACAAGCATTCTTGTGCTTCTTCGCAACAACTTTAGCCGTGAGCTTTGTTCCAACAGTTTCCACAGATCGTGGCGTGGAAAGTCAAAGAAACAGAGAACGACCGTGCGATCTCGAGAAGCTCGGTTCGAACAAGGGCTAGGCTATCAGACCTTGACTGGAACAGTTACTTCTTATGGTACATGATTGCACTACGGTACTACTACAAGACAGGCAAGAGTGCAAACAGGGAATGGAGGCGAAAGACTTGCGTATCAAACTCGACCCTCCGGATCTTATCTCTGGAACACAAGCACACAAGACGCGTGAAGGGACAACCAAAGAACGTCACCATTCATCGTCACAAAATTTGGCATGCATCCTCCATTTCATCATCTTATCATTCCATTCGAGATCGTCAAGGTATGCATACCGGTAGTGTGCTTTCTCTTCTGCCGCTCCAATGACAACGGTACTTTCTTTGTGTGAGAGCATCTTTCATGGATCAAGCCAGTCTTCGGACGGAAAAGGCATCGCTTTTGGTTGAAAGAGAAATACTGCTAGTAGTCGATGCTTGCCGACGAGTTCTGGTACCAGTCGGCAGGAAGATCTTCACAGTCTGCCAGAGCATTGTTCCTCGGCTTGTTGCCCTGACGATTCTTTGGACAAGTCACTGGCCGGTGCAAAAAAACTTCACCCTCCAGGGAGAACTGCAGATACCCCTATCCTGACTAGCCAAACTTCGCCACAGTCATTCTGTTTCCAGCCCACAATCAAAAGGGCGTCCTTTGATCCAAAAAGCTCATGTTCATGTTCATGCTCAAGCGACTGTTCATTTAAAATTGATATGCCTCCTGCTCGTCTCCGTTTCCATAAATCTTTTATTACCAACACCTAGTATTCGCGCGCTCCGCGCGCTCATCCCTTTCTCTGCTTCGCCCCGATCCTCATTCATGCGAAAAATGTGAAGAACGCAAGGCGACTTTCATGTGCATGTACATGCGTTGACTGTATCCCGTCAATACAATACTAGTCGAATACGTAGACTTCTACAGAGGCCTCTAAGTAATGCGCGCGGGGTATAATTCAAACCTCCACTCCCCATCGGTACCCTTACCCCTAAAAGCAAATCGTCTCCGGGAGACGAAATAAGCCAGCAGACCGCAAGAATATCCAATAGGTCAGGTTCCGTACACCGACTTCAGGAGCCTGAGGAGACACTTTGGATGTTCAGGAGATGCGGTAATAAAACCACCACCAGACGATCTCATGGTCACCTTGATTTTGCCACAACTACCGTACAGCTGACCGATCCTTGGCGCCGAAAGTTGGGCGGGTCCGGACGGTGGCCGTCGTTCGAAACAATGACAAGGCCTTGACGAAAAGTGTCCTGTACTCTACAACAGCTCTACAACAGCTCTACATGCCATTATCCACATTATCCACAGCTACTAGTACCGTAGCAGCTAGCCGTGGTCAACCCGTCCAACAATAAGAACTCGAGGAAAGAGACCAAGTCCAGGCAATCCAACTGTACTGTACTCACGAGAGACTTGTTTGGAGAGTATAGTACGTATCACCGTGTCTGCGTCTGATCATGTATATTCGCTTTGATGAAGACAGCGATGATGGCAGTGTTGGTGTGTTTCCTGCGGACCCAGATGATAAATACTACAATCACAGCACGGATGAACTCAAGTTTGACATGAACAGGCTTTGGGACGACCAAATGGCAATTGACAAGACGAAGAAGTTTGCGATGGCGATTTACGAGGATCAAGATGCTCCGGATAATCAGGATGCGCAAGACTTTATTGCTTCCGAGATGAAACAGTTCTTGAGAGACAATGGTGAATGCGCGCTTGGCATTGGAAAATTTGCCTGGGCTTGGCAAGATGTAAGCTACTACTGTCCTGGCGCTATCGCACTGCATCACAATACAGGGAACCGTTATCCCCATTGGACTCTTCGTGAGACTGTGTTTCAGTTTGTCTTGGACAACATGAGCCAAAGAACCATTTCATTTACCTATGAGATGCTGGCCCAGTACCGACGGACCCAACGAGAATCACGCAAGGAATTGATACAATATTCAACCTTGGCCATCATCTTTGGAAACATGGTTGCCAGAGATCCCAAATCTGGCAGAGTGCAACTCACAGAGAGCCAACGACGCCTCTTGGAATCTGGAGACGTTGTATCATTCCAACAAGAAGATACAGTGGCTTTTCATAGGAGACCACACGTATTCAAGAAAAACAAACGCATCGCCATGGTGTCGGATATCTTTGAACAGGAGATCCCAGAGAAATGGGGTGGCAATAACATGGACTGTTGGATGGCTCCCAAAGACCACCCAAGTACGGCACGACTTCTCACTGCATTGCTGGCCATCCGGCTCCTCCCATTCATGGACTTTCGCGTTCTGATTCCTGTTATTTTCACAATCAAAGTCATGCAGTATTCCCCTACTGCTCCAGAGAGCAACAACAACAAGGATGTGGAAGAAGTGACACGGTCCAAGTTTTATCAGTGTATCAAGGCTGCATACTATACAAATCGGCGTCGGAAGGAGGGTCCCCACCTGTATGATTTCACCCTAGCTGCCGAAGAAGCTATGCTGGTCCTGAAATGTAATGCTTCCGTGCTGCAGAAATTTCCCAAAGACGATCACAATGAGAGCCTTTTCAATATCCGTGCAACTACAACCGTCCAAGCAAACACAGGTTCCACTAGTAGCCGTTCAACTCTTGACACTACCGGATCTTCCAGCGACAACTGTGACCAACCCAGCAGCAATGAACCCAACGAAATCACCGACAGCTCCAAAGATTCTCATGGTATGGACGGCACCACTAGTTGTGGTGATGCCAAGGATATTTGTGGAAGTGGCAGCCTTACCATGAGCGACACTGACGACAGCAACTATGTCTATATGGAATGCAATAATGATGACACAGTGAAGACAATCGTGGAAAACAGCAACGACAACGGCATTGGCAGCACCCTGGGACACTCCAACAGCAAGGATGACAACCAAACTGAAACACACATGGATTCAACCAGCACCGGCAGCAGCAGTCCACACCAAGCCAACAGCAAGGTTTCGAGGGATTCCATATCCAAATCACATGAAGTCATGGATTCAATCGCCTCAAAAGGCAGCACTCCCCACCAAGCCAACAGCATGGATTCTAACATGAAGGACAACATCCAAACCAATCTTCACACCACTGCCATTGCCGTTGAAACCAAATCCCATGAATGCACGGATGCCATCACCTCGAAAGGCAGCAATCCCCACCAAGCCAACAGCATGGATTCTAACATGAAGGACAACAGCCAAACCAATCTTCACACTACTGCCATTGTCGTTGCATCCAAATCCCATGAATGCACGGATGCCACCACCTCGAAAGGCAGCAATCCCGACCAAGCCAGCAGCACAGATTCTGCAGAGTCTAGCAATGGCATCGTTGCAAGTGTCCATCAACACGATGCGCCAATCACCATCGTTCCTCAGAGCAGTGGAGAGAAGAATGACAGCGACACCAACCATCACACTGCTGCAACTGTAGTCACTCCCAAATCCAACGAAGTTAGACAACCGCACAGCACCCACCCTTCTAGCCATAGTCCTCAGGCCATTCACAAAAGCTGTTGCAGCAGTGACTTCAGCCCCAACAGCAGCAAGGACAACCAGACAAACATCACCGCTAGTCCTCACACCACGACCGCCGAAGTAGCCAACCAGGACTATGACGGCAACAAAGCTTGCATTGCCAGTAACCAAGCTTCCAAGGACAAAGGCTCTGGCTCAACTGACACCTTCAGTGGTTCTGTTGCCAACAGCAGTACCCCATCTGGCAATATCTGCAAAGGAGAATCCAACAAGGACCACATCCCAACAACAGACAGGATAGATGTCACTGCTAGCACGACAAACATGGAAAGCCTCCACGATAAGAATGGCACTAGCAGGTCCATTGTCCCCTCCACTGGCAGCAACACCCACAATGACACCAGCAACGATACTGCCAAGGAAAATGGCTCTGGCTCTGACTCAACCAACACCAACACCAACACCAACACCAACATCAACGACACTGCCACTGCCACTGCCACTGCCTACATCAGCAGCAAGGATGATTGCCAAATTGACAAGCTCACTACCACCGAAGTAGCCAACCAAAACTATGATGGCAACAAAGCTTGCACTGCCAGCAACGAAACTTCCAAGGACAATGGCTTTGGCTCAACCGACAGTGTGAAGGGTTTGACCAACAACACAAGTACCGCATCTGACAACAATATCTGCAAAGGAGAATCCAACATCGACCACAACCCAACAACAGACAAGCTAGATGTCACTGTGAGTACGGCAAACATGGAAAGTCGCCACAATGAATATGGCACCAGTTCCTCCATCGCCCACCATGAAGCCAGCAACGATACCGCCAAGGACAATGGCTCTGGCTCTACTGACACCATCAGTGGTTCTGTCACGATCCCCAGTACCCCATCTGACAATAGCTGCAAAGCAGAATCCAACAAGGACCACAGCCCAACTGACAAGCTAGATGTCACAACTACAGCCATGGAAAACCATCACAACAAAGACGGCACTGTCAAGTCCATCAACTCCACAGGCAGCCATGCCCACACCCACCAATCTGCTGTTGGAAAGAAACGAAAGGCGGAACTGTCTGTCAGGAAAGGTTCTGAGAAGAAGGCAAAGAAACGAAAGGAGAAACAGAGCAACAAGGAAAACCGCCCTGCCACCACCATAGTTAAGCAAGGATTCAAGTCCGGCGGGAAAACAAGCGTGCCAACGAAAGCAGAGAAGCGAAAGAGTAAGAAGGACAAGAGGAGAAGCGAGAGACGAAAGCGTGCACAGAACATGCGCGATCCAAGCACATGATGCCTTGGTGATTGTGTCGCAAGCTAGCTAGCTGTTGCATTGGAGCAAAGCTTGGATGGTTTCGTTTCAGTTACTGCATTGGGGTATGTAGAATGGCCTCGAGTAGGCACGACAATGTCCAGTAGTTCTTCTTTGTCCAGATTGAAGGTGGATGCTTCATTTTGATCCCCTCTGTCAATATTGATTGTGATTACATTAAATGACATGGAGGGGTTTCCTCAATCAGATAGACTTTGCTAAATCTTCTTGTGTTTGGCTAGCTCCCGTACCGTAGCTGGAAGTGAGTTCATGTATGTGGTCCAAGGTCCCAGCAAGGACTTTTACTCCAGAACAAACAAGCTCATTGACGCCATTGATTGTCACAATCTGCCTCTTCTTCGCATCCTTGCTGCATGGCTACCAGGAAGGCCCCGTCATGGGACTTCTAGTCGCCAAAAAATAGGCATAAAGTCGCACACATCATCAAAGTCGCATCAAAAGTCGTATGTAAAGTCGCATGCGAGTCGCATGAAAGTCGCGTGCGACTTTCTCGCACGACTTTCAAAGTCGCGCAAGATTACTCTAAGCAAGTCGACAGAGTCGCGTAGGATCGCGTAAAGTCGTTTGAAAAGTCGCATAAAAGTCGCGTGCGACTCGCACACGACTCGCACGCGACTTTGTGAACGACTTTCAGCGATCCGACGCGACTTTGATGGATCCGGGACTAGCAGTCGCATGACCGGGCCTTCCAGAAGTCTGCTTCTGGTGATGACGAGTCGAGTGACCGAGTCACTTCGCGGAAGAGTGCTACACCTATTCAAGAAAGTGTGCGACCTCAAAAACGAAAGGATCGCTCGAGATCTTCGCGCCGAAAGCTGGGGCGTCACCAATGCGACGATGGACCGGTTTGCGTTCAACTTTCAAGTGTTTTCGAGTTGGTGCCTTGAAGCCATCGCAGACAATGTACTCGTACTGTCCAACCCAACCAAAAGATCCAACAATCAAGAAGATCCGTACTGTACACAGCAAGCTACTTAGTAGGGCAGTGAAGAAGCAACCAATGAATGATCCGGCGTCCAGGCCGCAGCAGGGAGCCATGGATTCCCAGACAGTGGCTCACGCCAACACTAGAAGCAACCAGACCATGGGAAAAGCCGGCAATCTAATGAGCACCAAAACGACGTTCCGATCCAACCCAGTTGCTTCTGTTACATATAAACGTCATTATCAGCATCATTATCATCAGAATCGCATGATAGAGTTGGAGCTGTGGGAGAGTGAACTCACGCAACAACAGAACGTTCTGGAGGACATGACGCAACAATTGGATATGGAGACCAGCAAGTGGAACCATGCGTGGAAGGAGCTTCATTGGAAGCAGAACAAACTGCAGAGCGAGAAGGAGAACCATGTTCAGTACAAGGTTCAACTACAGTATAGTTGGAATAACCAGCTGCTAGAGATCAACCAGAGGGAGCTCCAGGCTGCCAAAGATCAGCTTTGGCAAGATCAGACCAAGCTGTGCGAGTATCAGAGTGACCTGAAAGCCAATCAGAAGAAACTCGAGAAACATCAAAATAAACTCCAGAAAGATCAAAAGACACTGGAACGAGCCAGGAAGAAGCATCTCAAGGCAAAGCAGAGACTAGAGGATGCAAAGATGGAACAGCGCATCAAACAGGAGGAACCGGATCGCGAGGCACAGAAAGAGCAGAGCGGAAAGCGCAAGAAGGAGAACGATCCGTCCAAAGCCGACCGCAAGAAGCAGAAGCGGCAAGAGAACGCCGAGTGTGAGGCACTCAACAAGGATGGCGACGCTCACACGAAGAAACGTTCTTAATAAAAACCAGCAAACATTCTTCGTCCCGCTTCCACAATCCGACGTTTCAAGCGCAATAGCAAAAAGACGTAGTTTGCTAGTGAACTACTGAGCAGATAGATGTTCTTGATGTTTTTGTTTGAACAGAAAAAGGTTGTAGGTACACTGTGTAGTACCGCAGCACAGACAGATAGATAGATAGATAGATAGATTGATTGATTGATTGATTGATTGCTTGATTGAGCCGCCTAAGATTGCCGGCTGCTTCGTGGGTCTTGCATATGTATCTAGCTAGCTAGTCTGAGGAGATAATAGTATCCTGGAAAATGCAATGGAATCAATGGCGTCACGGCCTCTTGGTCAGGTTCAGGTAGACTAGACGGATTGATTCGATTCGATTCGATTTGATTTGATGCATGTCAAACTTGAGGTACGGTACCGGTATGGGTACCTGTATCGGCTGAGCTAGCTAGGTAGAGACAAAGCAATGGCCCACTCCTTGAAACCCGTACAGTACTACTTCATCTACTTCACCCAGCTAGCCAGCTAGCTAGCTAGCTAGTAGCTGAATTCTGTTCCCGAACTCGTCTCGTCCGTCGACTGAGTGACAGCCAGTCGCTCGATCAGAACCTTCTGCTTCGCATCCTTGCTGGCTCCCAGGAAACTTTTGAAATTGGCGCCGAAAGGGTGGCCAGTGTTTTTTTTCCTTCAAAGGGTCGAAGCAATGACAAACGAAGAGCGTCCATGTTGTGTCCACTCCACACATACATTACTTACTACATGTACTGGTAACGGTACTAACTAACTAGCTAGCTAGTATTTGCCTTGGTGAATTCTATTAATATCGGTCCAGCGCTGCGTCCAGCAAAGCACACTCAAGCTGAGATACGGTAGATCAAGTCCAACCGTGAGGCAGAATCGAATCGATCAACTGTACCGGTACAATGGCTCGTACGCAAAAAGGTCGTCGTCGTCGTAGAAAACCTTCTTCCAAAGTTAATTATGAGATTATTGATAAATACTACGATCGGGAGAAGGACGAAATCATCTTCGAAGACTACGTGATGTGGGTCAAGCGAAGTTGGATCAGATATGAAGGTTTTGATGACCAAGACAGCATGTGGCAGTTCATGAGAGACTGCGGCGAATGTGCGCTTGGCAAATTCCATGGTACTTCGTCTTGGCAAGAAGTGGACTACAACTGTCCGGACATCATCAACATCAACCATAGCTCCAGCACTGAGTATCCTCACATCAATCTTCGCAATCAAGTCTTTGATTTTCTCTGGTTAAGCCTGGACACTACTACCCAAAAGTTTACCTACGACTTGCTGGATGAATACTTCCTGTTCAAGAGCCACAACGACAAAAAATTGTTTCCCGATTCCATGTTGGCCATGATCTTTGGAAACGTAATACGCAGAGACACGGAGACATTCAGAGTTCAACTCACAAAAAAGCAACAAATCCTCTTGGAACATGAGGGCATTGTATCACTCAAACAAGATAAAGATGAAATAACCTTCCACAGACCACACGCAGTCAAGCAAAACAAACTCTTCGAAATGGTGTTCTCCATCTTTGAGGATGATGATGTTTCAGAGGATCGGGATGAAACCAAGGATTGGACTATCCCCACAGACCATTCCAGTACTGGTCCGCTGTTAGCTGCCTTGCTTGCCGTCAAATTACTTCAATTTGTTCCCAATAACCATCTCCTATCCGTAATTCTATCAATCTATGCCATGCAATATGAGCCTCCAAAAGATGAGGATGATGATGACGATGACAAGTATGAAAACATGTTTTTCGATCATGCTAGACCGGTATACTTGGAGCATTACTGTCTCGAGGAACAAAAAGAATTTGATGATGACACCCTCTGGCAGCATGCCGGTGAAGCTTTGCTGGTCCTCAAGTGTCGCAATAAAGTCTGCGTTCGAGAACTTGAAGACGAGAATAACGACGATTGCAGCGTTGACAGTGAGAGCGAAAGCACTGCCAGCAGCACCGATTGTGAAGACGACAACCAAACAGAGGCCACCTCCACACAAGGGAATCTGGCTTCCAGCCCGAATCATGACGCGGAGAAGAAAACCAAACCCCTCGTGTCTCCTCCTCCCGGCGATACACATACTCCCGCTACCAATGAGGCTGGAACAAACGAGCAATCAGCTGCTGCGGCAGTTGCAGAGGAATACCAACAACGTATGAAAGCTGCAGAGTTGCGCGTGCAGGACATGGTGCAAAACAGTCTGGCTGAACTGACGGAAAAGGAGAAAAAGCAACAGGCAGAGGCGACAGATCTGGAAAATCGAAGGCAACAACAGGATGCACGGTCGAAACACTTGGCTGCTGGGTGGAAGGAGCTGCGTGCAGAGCGAGGCAAGCACGTGGAGCTACAAAAGAGAGAGATGGCTTCCAGACTTGAAGAGGAGAGTAAGCTCAATGCCGCAAAGGAAAAGCTGAAGGAAGATCAGCTGAAGCTACAGAAGGAGCGTACTGCACAGGAGAGTAAGCTCAAGGCCGCAAACGAAAAGCTGAAGGAAGATCAGCTGAAGCTACAGAATGAGCGTACTGCACACGCTACAGAGCAAAAGGAGGTCTTGGCAAAGCAGGATGAAAAGTGGAAAAGCTTGGATGATGGGTGGAAGGAACAGCTTGCAGAGAAAGGCAGGCAAATGGAGGTTCAACAGAGAGAGACGAATTCCAGACTTGAAAAGGAGAGGGTGCTCAAGGCTGCCCAGGAACAACTGAAGAGAGATCAGCAGAAGCTGAAGGAAGAGCAGCGGAAGCTACAGGAGAATTGGCGGAAAGTGAAGACTGAGCTTGCAAAAGTTACAGCAGAGCCAGTCAGGTTGATGGGAGAGCTGGAGGTTCGAGAGGCAGATCTGGCTGAGGAGAGGCGATACCTGGATGGGGAGATGAGTAATTTGAAGATTGGGAGGAGCAATCTGCATGACAAGGAGAAGGAGCTGGAACAGAGAGAGACGACTTTCAGACTTGAAAAGGATAAGGAGCTCACGGCTGCACAGGAGCAGCTGAAGCTAGATCGGCTGAAGCTAGAGGAGGGTCAGCAGAAGCTTGAGGTGGAGCGTGCAACACAGAAAGCAGAGCATGAGAGGGAGCTGGCAAAGCTGCAGGCTCAGTGGACAGATTTTGCTGAGAAGAAGGGACAGTTGGATGAGGACCAGAGAAAGTTGAATGATCAGCGAAACAACCTCCAGGCAGAGAAAGCTAGGCAGGAGGAGCTACAAGAGGAGGAGAAGAATGCTCAGAAGGAGCTTGAGGCGGAGTGTGCAACACAGAAAGCAGAGCATGAGAAGGAGCTGGCAAAGCTGGAGGCTCAGTTGGCAGATCTGGCTGAGAAGAGGCGACTTCAGGATGAGGAAAAGAAGAAAGCGGAAATGAAGGAAGACGAGAGAGCACGAAAGGCTGAGCGCGAAGCAAATAAGAGGGAGCGAGAGGTAACGAAGAGGGACGAAGAGGTGAAGAAGAGAGAAGAAAAGGTGAAGCAGCTTGAGAAGCAGCTCAACGATGGTTGGCAGAGCATGGAGAAGGAGCGTGCGGAGCAAAGTAAGAAAGGCAAACGATTGGAGGAAGACAGGGCCAAGCTGCGTAAGGATCAGATTGAGCTGGAAGCCAAAAAGCAAAGACTAGAGAACGATGCGAAGAAATTGGAACAGAAGAAGGAGGAAAGAGCAAGGGAGAAGGCAGAGCGGGAGGCGAAGCGGGAAGAAAAAAGGGCACAGAAAGAGCGGCGCAGGCAACAGAAAGAGCAGCTTAAGCAAGAGAAGGCACTTGCCAAGGAGGACCGCAAGAAGCAGAAGGCGCAGAAAGAGCAGCATGAGGCACAAGCAAAGGGCAAGGAGGCGGAGGCCGAGGCCAAGACTACCCAGGAACAGGATGAGCAGCGCCAGAAGCCCAGAGAGGAGACGATCCACAACCAAGAGCATGTCCACCGGGAAGTGCACGTCAACCAGGATGACATCATCCAGGACGACGAGCCTCAACCACAGGAAGCGAGAGGAAAGGCGAGCTCAGCACTATCCCAGGTGCCTGGGTCTGGCAAAAAGAAAGGAACGAAGAAACGGAAAGCAGCAACCCCGATTCGTCCGGGTTGCGCAATCAGTGACAAACGAATCAAGAATCATTAACTATTGAATGTATGTACGCGATGTTTTTGTTGAAGGAGGATGCTGTTTGTAGGGAAATAGGTATTATTTTGTGTTTGTACGACATTATCGCACGAGCAGTTGGTCTACCAGCTTGAAACTGGCCTGATGGTTCTCTGCTTTGCTCGTTCGTACTAGCTAGCCGATTATTTGTTTCTGATGAGCGCTTACTAAGAGGTAAGAGTGGTCATCTAGCTAGCTCCGAGCAAGGTGGCTGGTGTCACTATCTATACCTCAGGCAGCCAGGTACATGAGGTGCAACGTCGGCCGAAGGAGACGTCGCTGGTACAGCACCAAAATATTCAGTGACAACCACCACAGTGGCACCCAATCGTAGCAGCCGCCCGTCGAATACACCGAGTACCTCAGTTGATGCCGATACCCGCACGGTAGCGTCCTCATTCCGTTACCTGTACATCGCAGAGGGGTACTACCGTAGGTTGCTTGCTCGAAATGTATGCAATGGCTTCCCGCTTGCCATTGTTGCGTCCATCCTGGAACCTGTACGCGTAGTTGCTTGATATGTTTGGGATGGGTGTCAACAGACGTGTTTTTGTGTCGTCCATTTATAGTAGTCTTTACCGATATCTTTTGTGCGATCGATGCACTATGCATACATACATGTATGTAGCTAGTCCCAAACAAACCCCAGAAGGAGTACGACGGGCACGGGATACATGGTAAGAGCCCACCAGATGCGTTCGGTTTCAAAGGATGTTTGTATTCCAGCCATGTTGGCGATCAAAAAAGCGACAAAACTGAGAAAGGTACAACAAGTGACGGTATCCATGACAGCCTTGCGATGACAGATATCCTTGATATCGGCATTCCGACTGGTGACTCGTCCAATGGCGACGGCCTGATAGATCAATCCCAGCGCTGCCACTCCGGTCAATTCGTAGACAGCCGGTAATTGGTACCGCCACAGTTCCAATTTTCCATATCGTTGTAGTTTTAAACTCCATAGCAAGTGATGCGTACCAATGACGATATGGAACAAGGCGTAGACGCGACACCAAAATACCAACGTTTGTCGTGACGCTATTTTGCGGGACGAAATCTTGAGACCACCATACTGAGCCAATGTCCCCAAGACGCCGTACATGAGTAGATAAATGACATGCCACAAGGATTCGTCGTCCTTGTCATTGCGACGAGGATACTGAGGCAGCTGCTCTTCATTGTCAGGCGAGGTAAAAATGGCCTTCATGCTGGCACCCAAGACGGGAATCCAATCGACTCCCACTGCCTTCCACATCAGGGTCGTCGAGGCATAGAGAAATGCACCATAGGCCACTGGTTTTTCCAATGCAGCAAACATCTCTAGCTAGCTAGCTAGCAGTTGAGGTATCGTTGGCTACTGTATCAAAGAATAAGAATCTCAATGCGATAGCTAGAGCTATGAGATAGTGCATTCAAAAACTTGTTCCTTCCAATCAATAAGAAAAGGAAGCAAAGATACCGAAGAACTTTGGAACCTTGATTCAAGCCGGTAGAGCAACCCACAACTTGAGGCATGTTAGCCATCAGAGCGGTTGGGATCAAAGATCGTATCCACGAATGAGCCTTTGCCTTCCAATTTCACGCCACTCGATCGCCATGCTACCCCGGCTTCCAGATACCGGATACCGGTACTGGCATACCAATACCAAGAGCAACACGTAATACTGTAGCTGTTGCTTCTATCAAAACCCGCAGATAATAGACTGAATGAATGATATTGATACCCCCAGGTACCATACGGTACTATAGTTAAACGGTAGCCATGACGACGACTTCATCACCTGCCGCCAATGTTATCTTTGACAATCTTCTCCGAGAAAACTGGGAGATGCTTAATAACTGCATCCGCAAGGGCTATCGAGACACAATTCCAGAGGAACGCAAGGAGAAAGTCTCTGATCTGTTAGTGCAATGGCTGGGAGATGACGATTCGATAGAGACGACCTTGCAGGCATATCGAGATTATTGCGGACGCTCCGAGTTCGCCGATACCCATGGCAAAGTGGCCATCCTCTTTGCCTCTATTGTACCGGTACACGTCAAGAATGGGGTCCAGGCCACGCTTTATCCCAATCAAATCGACATGCTGAAAGGAGTTGCCGAATTAACTTCAGCCTCACCAGAAGAAATACTGGACCTGTTCGACAACTATCGCGAGTTGGGAAAGGACGAGCAGTTTAGACTGCTGGATCGGTCTTCACTTACTTTAGAAATTGACTGGCGAGCACTCTTCAAACGAAACAGATTTACCACAATGATTCTTTCCGTATTTCGCGTTTGCCGACAGCATTGCATAGAACGCAGCCACGCAATGGCAAAACTCGACAAGAAACGCATGACAACCGACTATGTCAGTCAGGAAATGAATCGTCTTTCCATGAGACACATTCTCCATACTACCAATGACGTTGCTACCACTACATTCTGCAATGACACGAATGATTCCTGGCCACAGTACGTCTTGACCGCCATCCTGACAAGTCAATTGCTCCTGGAATTAGTCCCCAAAATCAAGGGAGATTCCATGTTGACCATTCTCTTGGCGTTCTATGCCCTTTCGTGCCGTCATGCCCGGAAACAATGGATCCAAACCGAACTGAGGCTCGAATTGTACTACAAGGCAGAATACGCGTACCGTCAGCATTATTGGAAGCCAGGGAATGACGACTTTTTTTACACCGACATACGCAATATGGTGGATCAAGCAATGCGGGTATACTATTGGCAAGTCACGGCAGTTCGTCGTCGTCGCGCCAGAAGTCGTCGCAATAAGGAATACTCCCAACGCCACAACACACATCAGGAGACTGCCGCCAACAACAACAATAATCAGCATGACCGCAAGAAAAACCAGAATGGGGCAAAGCAACAGCCAAGGCAGAAGCAGAAACTTTCAAATCAACAGCAGGAGGAGGAGCAATGTCCGCCAAAGCAACTGGTTGCGGAGCAGACGCATATGGAAAGCAGCAAGGAGCCGCAGGACAGCACAGCTTGTATTGGGAACAACAATCGTCAGGGTCGTGACAACAACAATAGCAGCCCAAGAAAAATATCGATGGACTGCAACAATGATGCCAGTGACTATGCAAATCAGGAGACGGCCAACAACAGCAATCAGAATGAAGATAGCTGTCACCTGAATGGGACAGACACAGATCCACAGCAGGACGAGCAGCAACAATGCGCCAATCAACATGATGATGAGGAGGAGCAAGGTTCACTCTCGGATGTGGAGGAGAAACATGTGGAGACCAGAATAAAAGATGGCACAGCCGGCAACAATAGAAACCAAGGAAATGGCATTGAGAGAATGAGTGACATGATGGAGTGCGACAATGCTGAGACCGCCCATGCCAACGGCAATCAAGATGACAGCAACGACCAGGATTGGATAGAGCAGTATCTGCGGCGTGAGGGCATCTATCAAGGTATACCGGAGCAATTCCATTTGCAAGACCAACTGGATGCAGAGGACGAGCAGATGGAAGCCAGGGAAGAAGAAAACCATTTTATACAACACCACAACAACAACAACAACAACAACAATGACAATGACAGCGACAACTATGCCCCTGATGATGACAATAACAGCGTCATGGACAATGGCGAGGACAACAGCAACCGCCACCAGCATTACCTGGTCTGGGAGGCCTATGGTGCAGATTGTGCGAGCACAGATCATAATGAAGATGACGACGACAGCAGCAGTGGCAGCAGCAGTGGCAGTGAGTCCTTGTAGGAGCAGTGTGCTGAATTCTTACAGGAGCATTGCCAGCTTTTACCGGTAGTGGAAATGTCCATCACAAGTGTGTTCCTTCCAGTCACAGCGGAAGATTCTGAAGAGAAACCCAAAATCGCTCCAAGCAAGTTTTGAAGCCACTTGTACCGGTAGTCAGCAGCGAGCTAGCTATCACATGGCCTGCATCCAGCTCTTGTCCATGCAAACTGCCGCTCTGACTTGACTTGGGTTGGTGTTTCGAACGTCATTAGTAGGGCGATCATTACGTACGGTAGCAATGAGATCGGCTGCAAGTGATTCCCCGGTTGTACCGAATAGAATCGGCGACACAGACCAACTATCCCAACCAAATTAGACTAGTAGTGCACGTGGATGTTGTCGTTTTGGATTTTTTGAAAGCATGTTGCACGCTGTTGAGCAATGACGAGCTTTCTATACCGTTATGTGATCAACTTGAGTTGTTCTACTATTTTGTATGCGCTAGCTAGCTGGCTGCCTATTTTAATTTGTAGAAAGCACACTATGCCTTCATGACTACTAGTCCGGCAATAGCACGTCCAAATACCGTCACTGCTCATGTAATCATTACCATAAGACAATGATTGAAGCAGAGATCCAAGTAGTAAGAGCTACCCATGAAAAGGCAATACCGTTAGAAGTGGCACCACTGGTGGATTGTGTGGCGGTTGGTGGGGATGTTGCTGTACTATTAGTTGTAGTATCTTGGGTGGTGCACTGATCAACTCCACAGACTCCATTTTGGTCGCATCCCGGTGTCTTGCAATATCCTGCATCCTCCACCCACGCACAGACTTGTCCACTACTAGTAGTGGTGGTGGTACACTGTTGACAGGTGGTAGCATTGTTGCAAAGAGCAAAGTCGACGTTGGCATCTACGGCCCTTTGACAAATGTCCATGGTAGTCGAGTTTGGAAAGTTTTCGTGGGAATAGCAAGCGGCATCGGCGACACAATTCTGCGAACATGCTCCCACCGACCACGAACAGTCTTGTCCTTCGAGATTCAAGCAAGAAGGACACGTCAAGCCGGTTTCAGAGCGACAAGGATCTTCCGGCTGAGCAACCACCACAAGTGCTGTAAGAAGAGATAAGCAGAAGAACAGGAGCTTTGATAAGTTTAGTGGTGCCATTGTTGTTGTCTTTTGTCAGGGGACAGTGGGCAAAAGGATCCGAGTTGTTGGAAAGGTGTTTGATGATTGATCATCCCGCCAAAACAGAGCTTGGCTTGCGAAGACTCGGCGGGCTCCGCTGGCGCCACACATGCAGCCCCAACCAATCAGAATTACCAGCTGCGCTGGCTCTAATCAAGCTTCGCGCCCAAAATGAACAACGGCAACCTCATTTTGAGCTTTTACTCTTCCAATCCAAAATCAATCGTCAACAATGATGAAGAGACATCAGACAGCCAAGAGCAACACTACTATTAATACTACCGTTGGCAACTACAACAACAACAACATGTCGGAAGAACCCTCCATCATGCCTGAGTCTACCAAGACAACAGTCTATATGCGGCAATCGCTGAATGAACTCCATGCGACGCTTCTCTGTCCGTTATGCCATCAGCTGTTACAGAATCCATCCACCTTGTCGTGTGCCCATACGTTCTGTTGGAAATGCATTGAAGCATTCAGCTGTAAAAATAATATATGTCCTGGTAAGTGATTTTAACTAGCTAGAAGTTCATGTAGTAATTCATTTCGGATCACTTACTTACTTACTTACTTCTTCATTAGTGAAAGAATGCGGCCTTCCACTGGCAATGACGGGCTCTCGACAAGGTTCCTTTCTGAAAATCAATCCATCGCTGGAAACGGTACTCTCCAGTCTTCAGACTATTTGTCAGGCACTCGACAAGGCACCCTCAAACTGGTGGGAACATGGCAAGGAAGACGACGACTTGATAGAAGAAGGAAACGAAGAAGATGATGATAATTCCAGCCGTAGTAGTTGTAGCAGTGGGGAAATGATCACTTTGGATGTCAGCTCTCCTCCTGGAAACCTCAAAAATGACGACGACTATGACACCACAGATGATGATGATGATGATGATCCCAACAATCTGATGAAACTATTGGCTCGTTACAGTGATGATGATGACGACGATGAGGACGACTAGCTAGCCAGGCTTAGAATTAGCCATTCAAGATTCAAGGTGGCTGATCTATCTGAGTCTGATGTTGAGTTAAAGTTGATTGGTTCAGAACGACGAGGAGGACTAGCCGCGGCCGCGGTAGCTAGGCTTGGTTCAATCGAATTGAATTGAATTGAATTGAATGATCAATCATTCAGGGTGATTTGGGTCTGACGTTGAGTTAAAGATGATTCAGAATCGAATCCATAAGAGTATTGCACTGATTCAATCAGTATTCGATTCTGGCCTTCTATTTCCCAAGAGCTTGACCCGTGTGCTGACGCTTATATTATTTATTATGCACCTTGTGAAATGATCCACAATCCACTGTCAGCTAGCTAGCTATCCCTTTGCATTGATCAGTAGTATCTGGACACAATACGCATTACATGTAGCAGCATCATTGTCATCACACAAGGTAGAAGTAGCATGATACAGTACCAAGAGCAGATTCGCTAGATAAATGTTGTGGCGTGGTGTGAATTACGACTCACTGCTCCGCCATCCACCCTACCGGTACCGTATGGCAAAAACATATCAATCAACAGCTATAGCTATCTAGTGCGTCGTTACTGTCTTCGAGTCTATTGATGTGTTCCAACGCCATGTCTGGTCTGTCCCAAGGGTTGGATACGTATTGCTGAAGCGAGAAGATGCCCCACAGAACGGAGCCAAGCACATTCCATCGAATGATCAATCGACTGACTTCGGCTGAATTCGAATGAAACAGATTGAATGATCAATCATTCGATGCAGCTACTGGAAGACACATCTGGAATTCAGGTAGTTGCGGTAAAACATATGTTTGATTCAAATTTGCAGAGTAAAGTAAATCTTTAACCCTATATTTACCACATCTACCCATCTAAGACTGTCTTCCTGCAGTCTGTAGTATGTATCATACATGTACTTACGTCATCTTTTTGTTAAATCTTTTTATCTTTGGAACGTGGATACTTTTTACCAAACGCGAATAAAATTGGTGCGCGAGAAACGGATGAGCCGCCAAGATGCAAAGAGCACACAATCCAAAACTCCTTGTCTTTGCCGACCTATCTATCGTAGTTTTGCAGTACGGTGATAATAGCTCCGACCATGGCAAAGGCCAAGACGAGTCCTTACTTTGATGCCAAGAATAAGGCAAAGGCAGCAAAGAAGAAGTCACCTAATAGCAAGGCAAAGGAAAAGAAGGGATCTCCTGATAAGAAACCCAAGAAAAGCAGAAAGAAAAAGGATGAAGAAGAGGTGGGTACTACCAGCCGTTTCTTTTTAAAGTCTCCTTCGAGTGTGTATGGGTCTGTGACTTCTTTGGGTCCTCTGATTTGTACGTGGATTCCACCGGACCGGTTGGATCTCTTGCAAGTTCCTCCCATCTGCCTTCGTGCTACCTCTACTGATGCTACCTCAGCTAAGAAGACGGAGCATGAGATTTGCAGTGCTTGTCTTCCGGTGATAGAAGCAGCATTGGTAGACTTTTCGGATTGTCTGGTCTTTAAAGACAGGGGGAGAGTCATGAAGTTGACTACCACTCGCCAGGACAAGACGGACTTATCCCGCTTGACTTGTGTCGAATGGGTCAGCCGCAATGCCGAAGCGAACGTGCGCCACCTCTGCCAGTACCAATGCTACCTACGTGCCTACTGTCCACGCAGAGAATGGTGGCTTATGAGAACAAAGCTGACCAAACACTTACTACCAGTAAACAACATGAACTCATCACAAGCACAAGAGAAGAAAGAATCAACCTTGAAAGCGTCCAACAAACCCATGAATGCCCTGCTCCAAAATTGGACCTGCCAGCTCGTACCAGTCTCGGTACCACCGCTCAAAAAAGTCAAATGCCCCATCGTGTATTCGCCCCCTAAGCAGGAACAAAAAGTAAGGGATAAGGCATTCCTACAGGCTCCAAAAGTCGTCTTTTGCAACAAAGACACAGACGACGATCCCAACCTCACCCCCACCAAAAAGCTGAAGGTCAAAGCCCCCAAGCCCATTGACACACCCACCAAAGCCATTCACGCGTTGGAACAGGAGTACCAGACCAACCAAACAAAGGTTGCTACCGTCGGTGCTGCCATTACTACTATTGTTGGCAATAGTATACTGCACACCACCAACACATGTCGTGACGACAGGACTCTTGCAACGCTGCTACACAGCACCACGACCGCCAACGCCAACGACACCATGGAACGGTTTCGGTATCAACTCTCAAACTGTACCAGGATCAATGACGTCCGGGGCCACTACACACGACCACGTTGCTGTTGCATCTACTCGCCCTTGGGGCTCCTCGAAGAAATTCTAGTGCACGATCCCTGGAAACTACAACTCGCCACGATCTTTCTACAGAGAACAACCCGCAAAAAAGCGGAACCCATCTTTCTTCAATTTCTAGAGCGGTGGCCATCGGCAGAACGCGTCGCCGCAAAGTTGGAGGATGAGGCCGACCTAAAAGCCTTGATAGATCTATTGGAGCCCTTGGGATTGCACGTGAAACGAGCCAAGGGAATTCGAAAATTTTGCGGGGCATTTTGCAAGTTGGAGAGCGAAAAAAAGTCTTGCTACAATTTTACACGAAAGGACGTCAAGAAGTTGCCTTATTGCGGGGAGTATGCGGCCGATGCCTATCAAGTCTTTATTCGACGGGACTACAACACACCCCTACAGTCGAATGATTATGCCTTGAAGGGATTTGTCGAGTGGCAAAAGAGTATTGAATTACAACAGCCGTCGTCATCATCATCACAGCTGCCACAACGACAACAAGTCGCCCATCATGTCGCCACAACAACCACAAGCATGGAGCGATCCGACCATTCCAACAGTATTATGGAGAAAGCACAAGACTGCCAAACGAAGCCACAATTTCGCAAGCAAACGGCGGGTCCTGTCACCTCCACAAACACCATGATAACAACACACCGGCAAGATCAACAACAGATTGTTGAGGCCGATGACAACGCCGTCAGGATGGAGAGTGACAATGACATGAATGATCCCTTGCCAACCTTGGATCACGAAAGCACCAGCAGCCGCCAGAATGTTGACACGGAGCAGCCGAACGAAGACAACCAACAGGAGCAGCCGCAAAAGATGGACGCAGATGACAGCATCGGCAACAAGAACGAGAGAGATGACGACATGGTTCAGGAGGATGACCAGTTGGCCACGTTGGATCAAGAAAGCAGCCGCAGCGACACGGGGCATCCGAACGACGACAACCAAAAGGAGCAGGGCGACGAGGAAACGGAGCAGCATCAAAAATTTGATGAGGATCAGGCAACGTGCAGCAAAGGAGACAACGACAAAGTTCGCAACAACCACTGCGACGGCAACGCTTCGAACCACGGTGACATGAACAAGAGTGTCACAACAGAAACAAACGACGACATGGACGGCGAGAAGATGCTTACGCAGCTGGACGGTGATCCACGTGACAGCGACAGCGACAGCAACCAGAGCATCGAGCCCAGAGGGGACGACGGTTGCGGCGGCGGCAACCATGCTGAAAGCTACGACAATGCCAAAAGCGGTAGCAACGCCCCTGAAATTGACTGCGATAACGGCATCTTTGACGGCGAAGACGACGAGAACAGGATCTCTTTTGACAATGATGAGGATGACGACAGAACGTACTCGAGAAACGACAGAGTGTACTCGAGAAACCTGATGAACGATTATGCCGAAGAGAGCTGGGACGAAGGCTCATTCATGGAGGATGACGAGAGCAGCCTTAGCAGTTCTGATAGCGTCTATGATCTGCAGGTTATCGCCTGCAAGGACAACAATGACCATACAAAGTGCAGCAAGTACGTTCCACGAGATGAATTCATGCGACGCATCCAGCAAAGATTTCCCTCTCAAGCAGCGCTGAATGCTGTAATGAATGAAGGCACACTGTATCCTGCCATATTCATGGAACCCCCATCTGACGAGGATCACGCGCATTGGTACGGGCGCGAGCGACCACCAACCATGGTTATGAGGGGCTCATTACTGCATAAACCTCCCCAAGTCTTGCGTTTGGAACGCAAACGCAAACGAGGGAAACCACCAACCATCATCATTCCTGGCTCCACATTTCAGAGAAGTATGAATCGAATCGAATAGAATGATTGAATCATTCAATCACGGCCATTTTTGCATAGCTTTGAAAAGTAATCTGCTAGGGCTAGCTAGTAGTCTCAAATAATTCATATAGTTGTGTTTGGATGGGGGATCATGGGAATGTAGCTGCGATGATCCCTGCAAAAACCATTGTAAATCTCTGGTTGATAGGTCCCATCTGCCTCCTCTTGACCTTTCAGTTTGGTCCGAATGTCAAACCAACGAGATATCATTCCCCTGCAAACTCCATCGTTCCAAAACATGGGTGGGTCACTGATCCCCATGCATCCCCATGGCACCTTACAGTACGTGTAATGGACAATCCGCGTATCTTCCAGAGGCCACGTCTGACATTGAACATCGTCGCAATTGTTCCTGCCATCACGACAGGTGGTATCGTACCATTCAGCGCTGGCATTGGCGGGTGTGGGGCGGGCGTATTTTCCAGTGCGGTCATGGGAGGAACGTCGTGGATTGTCGGCAATTTGGTTGAAGCGACAGCGATGCAACTCAATCGCCTGGTTCTTCAAAATCATGTCAAAGTAATAGGCAAACAAGCCCTGAATGGTCATGGCACCCCAAATGTGCATTCCGTATCCGCTACTAAACCATCCCGATTCTGTGACACTACGACCACCAACGAAATGGCCCTGTTTGACCATATCAATGAGTTCGTCTCGTCGCGTAATGTTGGGTCTTACCACAAAGACTAGTCAGTCAGTCGTAGGTAAGCAATGAGGTATGTTGCAGCAGCAGCAGCAAGCAAGCATAAGAGTCCTCCCATTCTAGATATACCATAAATAAATAGAATAGTACATGACAGGTACTTACATCCTCCTTGTACTCCAACACGACTTTCCTGTCCCGGTCGAATGATGTTGTAGTCCTTGGTGTAAAAGGCATCGATTCGGGTGGTGACATTTTGGATTTGCGCCGTGTGGGGATACGTTGGCGCTACCAACCCCGCCTCTACCAAATGACGCCTTGCTCGAATGCCTTGCTCGGAAGTAGCCGGATCGTAGTAGATGGCGTCCAGGAGTTCGTCGAGAGGCGCCAGCAATAGAGTGTCAATGTCCAAGTGTACCGCCACCGAGTGATTGACCATACTAAAGGCATGCAATTTGAGCAGCTCCGAATGCCCACAGCATCCATTGCGGTGAATGGCATCTTTCAGGATGAATCCCTCACCACCACGAATCTCATCGGGAGACACGGGTAGCGGCACGATCCGTACATCAAATCCAGCCTGTTCCAAAATGGAACCACAGCCATTGGGCTGTTGCAAATGCGTGGGAAGCAGTGCCACCAAGTCGGCTTGGTAGGATGCATTGGGGTGCAGGGGATACGTGTTGAGTTCAATGGATCGACGGAGCACCGAGGCGGCATCAAACAGCGTTCTTTTGAATTTGGGCAAGCAGCTCGTTAAGGACACGACAAAGACCACCTTGGCTGTGGGAAGAGATGGAGTCTGTAGTTCAGCCGATGACGATGATGACGTGATGAGTTTAACTGCCAACTGTCTTCCCGCTTGTACTATTCCCTCCGGTTCGACATTTTTCAAGAGCTTTCGAGTAAAGTGTGTGGCCAGAAACCCAACGAAAAAGAACACGAGCAACGGCAACTTTCTTCGTGAGCTTTTCTTGCTGATACCATTTGTTGGGCTGGTCTTGGCAGCTGTGAATCTCCGATATCGTGGAATGGCCATGGCTTATCCTGTTTTTGGGTAGTTGTCGAGGGAGAGGAAGATGGATGCAATGGCTTGTTCGTTCGAGAGGTTGGGCGAAAGAAATTGGAGGTGCGCGAGGTTGGCTGGACTGCGCGCAGGAACCTGAGAACGCGTTGCATCGCGGATTTTTCACCACACTCCCACACTCGGTATGTCCTCTACTTACCCTTCAGTGGGATAGCTCCTTGGAAAGATATCTCTGAAGCCACAATCACATCCCCGTCTTTCCTTTTGAATTGTTAGAGCTGTCCGTCATGAGAAGAAGAGCGGCAATATCCTGTTTCCTGGGAATATGGTTTGGCCTGTACCTAGATATTTATCTCGATCAAATCAATGAAATATTGTACGACACTATGGAAACCAGCAAACGACATTTGGCATCGGCTGGACTCGATTGGCAACAAAGTCTACTCGAAGCATCCTCACCATCAATAAAGAAAGACAATGCCCGTATCAAACGACAATATCGACGAAAGTTCGTTGCGTATCATTCGTCTCCGTGGGAACAGCAATGGCTGATACACGCCGACGAATGGAGCGCCAACTTGACAAACTACATACGAGTACTGCAAGAAGATCAAAAAGATCTGATCCATGATTTCATGCTCGCTACATGTACCGATGAGCTGCCGAATCCGCATTCCGATTGGTGCATGCAACAAGACTTTTATCGCGCGTTCTTCTACAACAAACAGTCGCGCCAATGGGTTTGTCAAGCGTCGCCAGCCGGTAGACGCCATTTTATCAAACTCATGGGCCAAACAAAGTCGCTAGGGCCCTTGCAGCCCGGGAAGCAGTACGAGCACATTTTCAGTCGATTCGAATATCTAGACCAAGAGACGGGGGAGACGTACTTTGAGTACATTGAACCCTTGGTGGCGGGATTGCGACACCCCTGGGCGCGTCTCAACTATGCTGGCAACCGATCTCCTAATCCCGTCATTGACTTTCGAGGATACATTATACCTCCGCCGCCACCACGAGGAGGACCCTATCAAAAGTCCGTGTACATTGATGCCGGTTCCTCCACGTGGGCCACTGGATTGGGTGGCCCGTCCTTGGACTACTTTACCAAGGCATGGAAGCGACAAGGGATTGATTTTTCCAAGATTTATGCCTACGAGCCATCTGTGAGACCCATTGACTTTGACACAGCCCTTCCGGAAGAATACAAGAATCGAACACAGTTTTGGCAAACCTACATTGCTTCATCTCCCGATGCTGCCACTCCGACACAACCCTTTTTGCCCTTGGAGATTAAGGATCGTTGCGCCGATGCCGATTACGTGCTCTTGAAACTGGACATTGACTCTCCTAGTGTGGAAGACGGTTCCATTCGCTACTTGCTGGAGCACGATGACATTCCTATTGACGAATTGGCATGGGAACATCACGTGCAGCATCACCCCGTGATGGGTAAAATATGGCAGACTGGGAAAAGCCGACCCAACAACAATCTCAACTTGGGAGATTCCATGAAACTATTTCTGAAACTGCGCCAAAAGGGTATTCGGGCTCATTCATGGGTTTGATTGATGCGTATCCAGCGCCAAAAGGGTATTCGGGCTCATTCATGGGTTTGATGGATGCGTATACATACTAGTACACGTATGCATCCAGTCAAATAGAAGCTAAAAAGAGGGGCAAGAAGCGCTAACACTGTAGCTACTGTATCTTGGATTAGAAATTGTACTGTCAAACTAATAAAGAGTGTTTATACCAGGACCTCTCATCCGGTGCAAACCTTGTTAACTATCCTATATCTTGTCGTCCAAATGCAAAGGAGGCAGGTTGTTTATTTATTTGCCTGCCAACTTTTTCGCCGCAGCACGCAAATATCCCGGCATCATATCCGGGCCGGTGACCGTTTCATCGTTGGAGGCTAGACCAAAGTAACAGGCACAAAAGTCTCGGTTAGGGTCGACGTAGATTCCTTGGCCCATATTTCCATGCTTGAACATGGCGCCGTCGGGGAATGCGTGATCCCATTGGGCCGTGTTCTTTTCCGGCATGTGTCCGAACCAGCGGAGTCCATAGGCTGCTTCTTCGGAAGGAGGGTAACAGGCTGGATTGCCCATTTCAAAGATACACTTCAAGGCTTTCTCGGAAACAACGGGCTCCTTGGCCACAACCTTCCAGCTGGGAGTGAAAATGGCGGCATAGCGGAGCATATCTTCGATCGTTGTCACATTGGACCCACCTCCGACGGCCGTATTGTGAGTGGTCAAACCCATAATGAAGGCATCCTTGGGTCCAATCTTGGACCAAATACGCTCATTAAAAAAGTCGGTGTAACACATATTGGTGATTTCCTCGACGATAATGGTCAGGACCTGCGTGTTGGCAGTGGAGTAGCGAAAGCGTTCATTGGGCTTTTCGCCGTCCAGGGGCTTGGTCGTTCGTAGCAATTCCCTCCAGTCGCCTTTTCCTTCCATGAGCGCGGTAAAAAAAGATGCGATCCATGACTTTGGATTGGAGAGACTTGCAAAGGTCTCCTCGATATCCATGGCGGTACACATGTTCATGACATGCTTGACAGTGACATTCTCCCACGGAGTGCCCTTCAAGTCAGGAACGTAATCGGCGGGAGACTTTTCAAAGTCCAATTTGCCATCTTCCCACAAGAGGACACAAAGCAGGGACGCACTGGTCTTGGATGCCGACATCCAGATGTGAATGTCACGAGGGTTCATGCCTGGATACACTTCAAAGACGACCTTTCCTTGGTGCATCATCATCATGGCTTGCACTTGCTTGGGGCCGACCAAGTATTCTTTGAGCGGACCGCGCTCCTTATTATCGTTGCCTTCATCCACGTAGGTCAGATCCAACAACTCGGGCATCAAGTTGCGTTCCAAAATACTGGTATTCTCAGGAGGAAAGGCAATCTGCGTCTTGAAGAAGGAAGGAATGTTCATGTTGTAATAGACAGAATCATCGTTTCCAGACTGCCAGTTGGGGAAGGACCAACGAGAGGCGGCTGCCTTGACGAACGCCAGGGGTTGAGGACTCTTCCATTTCTTCATGGGAGAATCCACTTGGATGGGTCCTTCCGCTTCATTCTCCTTCTTGGGTTCCGTCATGTTGCCTAGAAATAGCAATACCCTTTTGTTATGGTCAGAATCAAATGAATGAATCGAATCTGATATTATGGCAACATCACGGCGAGAGCACTGGAGACTTGCCGAAGAGCCACCGGAACAAAGTTCCAAAAGATATGCGTGACTTTTTTCCAAAGATATGCTTACAAAGATATGCTGCACCGGTTTTGCTTTCTTTGTCGCGTGAGCCAGCTGGTGAGCAAGTTTGCGGTACTGGTGGTGGTACGGACTGGCGCGGCGGAGAAGATTCATTTGACAATTCCAAAATTCGTTCTGGCCAAACCAGAATCGAAAGTGGTCATTTCTAACCGAAGTGGTCATTTCGCGAATGCTGCATTGGAATGACTGGCTCACAAAAAGAAAAGATTGAAGCAATAAAAATGAATTTTATCACCATGGCAACAGAGTTGACCAAATGGCCATTAGCTTTACCAATACACAGAGATAGCAAATCCTTTTCCAGCAGCAGCTCTCCAACACACCCACAGAGTCACCCCTCAAAAAGGATTTGCTATCTCCAAGGTTTCTTATGGAGCCTGTAGGAAAAATCCAGCTTGGATTGGATTTTGTTGTCACTCTGCCATTCATTTCTCCATGGGAAAGGTGCTCCAGTCCTCACTCTCAGCACTCAATCTGCACTGTAGAGTCATGTAAATGGATGGTTGGCTTTGCATGAAGACTGGAGCACCCATCACAAAGATTCAAAGGAGAGTTGTTGACTTGAAATCGGAAAAATCGACGAGAATGGAGGAGCTAGTCATGGATTCATTCATCGCTCGGGTACATCGCCGCTCCGGTACATCGCACTCGGCATAGAGTAGTAGCCGCTTGATACAAGCGTCGCTCCGTGGAAGCGTCATGGTCGCTCCGCAAAAGTAGTCGTCGACCGTGAAAGAGGAGCCATGGCATTCGACGGAATCCAATGGATCCGTCGAACGGAAGAAGCTTGTTGCCATCGATTGTTGTTCTAGTAGTAGTATTTGCTTGTTGTTGTTGCATTGACGGTAGAGGAGTCGTCGCTCCGTGGAAGAGGAGCCGTCATGGTCGCTTGGCTAGATTGCTTCGTGGAAGAAGCAGAAGAAAGAAGTCGCTCGATCCGTCGAACGACCGATCGTCGAACGGCTGCCACTGCCGCTAACCAACCAAGAGTAGCCTGTCATGGTGGTGAGTAGTAGCCGCTGTTAAGAGGAGTAGCTACTGTAGAGGAGATAGCATCATCTTGATAGAGTAAAGATGGGGGTATCGATCGCGAATAAAATGAAAGAAGAGGACCATACGAGTGGCTTCGATCGATCCGAGTGATGTCAGTTGAATTTAAGGTTGAGGCTAAATGTCCCTTAAGTCTTTTCACGGAACGTTCCAGGACGTTCCGGTTCGCGTACCGGCAGCCGGCTTGCGTTTGCGTCAATAGCTCCGATACAGCCTGTAAAAAGAGTAGTCAAAAGATCCAGGAGACCAGTTCGCAGAGCAGCTGTCAAAAGCAGAACACGACAGCTGACTTTCATCGGCAACAAGTACGGGTACATCTACGTACACAGAACGTACACACACCGGTAGGAAGCTTTAAGTGAACAGAAGCACTTGTAAGAGACCTTCAGAAGCTTATTGGCGGGACAGTTCACCTTGCAGAATGTAACCCCTTTACTGACTTTTGGTGAATTTACCAGGAAAATCCCAACTTGAATTGATCATTATTCAAATCGCTCATGATGCATTCATCACCAAGTTCATTACTTTCATCATCAATTCATTCTCAATGATTAAATTCATCACTAATTCAAATATTTTCATCACAATTTCTTATTATTAGCCACTTATCCACAGTAAACTTTCAACAAATTTCATCACAGATTCATGATGACTTGATCATGAATTCCAATAATAATGATGACTTCATCACCAATTTAATTACTTTCATCACCAATTTAATTACTTGAATCCTATAATTCATCACCAATCATCAAATTCTAGAAAATTTATCACAATTCATCAGAGGGGAGACGTTCCAGCGTTCCGCTTCGATCCGCCCCTCATTTAGGGGCGGATTTAAGGGCGGATTCCCATTCTAGAGGGCGGATTTAAGGGTGGATTATCCAAAAACACCCTTATTCTTACCGGTGGGCTCCAGAGCAGCTGTCAAAAGCAGAATCTGGCAAGTCTGGCAAGATGTTTTCCACCCCGTGGGGCGTGGAACGTCACCTCCAACGCATGAACGCAAAACTCAATAAATTGGCTGTCCTTGATGTTTGAAGCTGCTGAGAGGCCCCAAAGACATCAAGCCCAAGTCCGCAGGAAGGAAAGCAAGTCCTGGCTCTCCAAAGAAGTCCCCGGATGCTTTGGGTGACTCTGTGGACAAGCAGGCTTGGATGTTTTCGTCCAAGGAATCTCAACCCAAGTATCAAAGCTCATAATAGAATTGAGGGCTCCTTTAGAAGTGATTCGATTCGATTCCCAGGACTTTTCAGAGGAGCAGTCCAAGCATCATCTACCCTTTGTCTTCATGAAGGGTATGCCTAGAGTTGTGCCAGCACCTTCAGAATACTTACCTAGATAGCCACTTGAGCTCCTAGCCATCATTGCATTCTCTTTATCAAGAATTTAGATTATGAGAGGAATGGCAAATGATTTGGCACAATCAAAATGAAAATGCTCCACAATGGCTGCTATTCATGGTTTCGGATACTGAGATATCAGAAGGGGATACAGAGGCAGGAAAATCTTCAAGTTGTGTGGCAGAGATAGATATTTCAAAACCAAGGAACATTGGGCAGCCAATCAAGAGTGAACCAGGTCCCAATGTGGGGTGCAAGAAGTGCCTGGAGTGTGTCAATGCAACAACTTGCACTGCTTGTCACAATCCTTATGGCTACCGGTACTTGGAGTGTGCCTGCAATCCTCCCTGCCAATTTTGCCGAAAAGGATTGAGAAGGACTATTGCCGTTTGTGCTTTTGAAATGGAATAAAGACAGAGGGGCAGATCTGCTTCCTGGTGAAGACCCATTGGTAATGTTTTCGAGATGGTGCAGAACCCATTTGGAGCTGGAGGAGGAGGCTGGGGAAGCCTGAACACTGAAGTTGCATCAGAGTCAGCCGCATCAGCTGAATGGTTCTGAGACAGAGAGATTGATGCAGGACCATTTGATTGAGATCCCTGCATGTGCTTCCCGCAAAGGTATTGCTTCCAAGCGCTGATGAAGGAGACTCGACTATTGGCAAGCCTGATTTAATCAGTTGAAAAGTCTTTGAAGGTCCCTTTCCTTACAAAGAGCTACCATGGGTTTAGCAAAGCAGTCAGAACAGAAAAGTTGCTTGGAGTACCGGTATACTGTTAGGAGAATGACGGAGTTACTGGTGCAAGCAAACAAACCAACAGCAACTTGGTCCTCCAGCAGTAGGCGGTAATCGTTCCGATGCTTGATGGATCAAGGGAATGATACTGTACCACACGCGCACGTCCAGCTAGTAGCTAGAAAAATGGCTGGCCAAAACCACCCGTGCGTCCCACGCCATAGCAAATCACTCACTTCGTCTCAGAAGCTATAGTAAAGTCCATGGACGTGACTTTTATTAGCCCTGCAATGTACCACTAGGGGAGCGATGATATCCAATATCGGTAGGAAACCAAGGAGTCTTGCCTTCCTGCTTCTACTGGCTGCTGGCTGATGTTTGGCTCCCCGCAAACAACTTCCGCTTGTAAGGAGATGCAACTACTAACTAGTGGCTTACCAGCGAGCCAAGAACGTTGCTTTCGGCTTGGCTAAAGTTTACGTTTGGGCCCACCCACAGCACTGCTCCCTTCGTCGATATGGTCAACAGCACCCGCAGCCATCTGGTGGCTGCCAGCGGCCACTACTAGGTGCGCCCGGAACCGAGACCAGCCACTGTCCTCTCTCGGCTCACCGTCTGTGACTGCCTGGCTGGCATAGTCTCATGGCTACACCGTTTGGTTATGGTTGCTTGGGAAAGTAACAGTAGACCGACACCAACTGGTGGCCCCATACGGTGGTACCGTACCGGTATCTGGTGCGCCGTGGTCATGTTTGCAATTCCTCTCCCAGTATGACTCGACTCGACTCACTCCCGCGGTTGCATGTAAAACTCCCCCCACACGCTGCCCCAGCAGCGATATGGCAACATTGCAAGCCACCACCGCCACGGTTGATGACAAGTTGGCGAGCAAAATGACTGACTGGTTGGACTGTGATCGTTGCAAACTTGACTGAAATCCTCAACGGAGCTGCCATCATTGGAACATCAGCCGGCTTTTACCCGTCGTAAGCTCACTAGCTAGCTAGCTAGCTAGCTACCAGAAGCTAGCCAGTAGAGCGGTGGTAAAACTGGATGGATGATGTACTAGTAGTGCCCTGCGGCCTGCAGCCCTGCTGACGATGCAATGACTCCCGTGCCAGCACTCACTAGCTAGGAGGCCACTCCCGCATCCAACATGTGTCTCACAGCGGGCTCAAAACAAACAAACGAACCCAAACAAAATCTACGTGGCGAGAGGACAAAGAAGTTCCATTTTAAATTTTGGTGTCCTTCCCGAAGCCTCTTGTTCCGGACAGTAGCACAGGCTCGTTACGGCTCTCGTTACCCATCTTTCCCTGCGGCAACTCAACTCAGCAGCAGCAAGGGCTTTCCTTCAGGTACAATGCCCCCTTCAAGCTCTCATCAAGGCCCCAAAGCTCCAGCAGCGTCTCCAAGCTCCGTTCGATTCCTTTCCAGTCCTATCAAGATTCGGATGCAGCATCCACATGCGTCTGAAAAAAGCATGCACGTATTGCCATCGTGGCAATACCAATGGTCAAGGAGGCTGAAGGAGCATTGAAGATTTCGCATTGCCTCGTGATGGAACGGTTGATAATGATCTAGTGGGCTGTACACCTCATTGAGTTTTCCGTGGAACAAACAGAGATGCAATTCCGTCACCCATAAATCATTAGGTCCAGAGGAAGTATCTCAAAGAACGCGCGATATGACCGAGGTCTCAAAAAGTCTACATGATGTGTGTAGAAAGGACAAAGCGTAAAGGGAAGCTATGCCAGCTACTGGTTATCCAGGTTATGGAATAAAACAAGAAGCTTCAATTGTTTTTGTTTAGGTTGCGTCTTAACGTTGCATGGCTTGTTGAATAGAGCAACAACGCTTTGATAGAATCAATGATGGGTATCTGCTTTACTGCTGTATCGGAGAAACGCAATCTTTTGCCTTCGGTCAATGGTTGAAGGTCGACAAATTCGAAATGACTGTTTCTGATGCCTGTTTTCAGGGAATGCTAATGGTTGGGAGTATTGACCATTAAGCAACCTGGTAGTGGTACGTAGAATCGCCGTAGAAGATGGTACTACAACCAAGTACACAAAAGCCTCCTTCTCATTTGCGGGCAGGCACAATAGAGGCATTTGCTCTCAAAGACGCTAATACCGGTATCCACATCGAACCCACTTTATCTTCTCACAATTTTCAAAGCTCACAAGAGTCAATCAACAAAACCAAAAACTACAATGTGTGCACCAACATCTATTCCAGCCACCCCAACACCACTCCCCACCATGGCGACCACCAAGTCTCGCAAGAGTGTCTCCTTTTCCACTGACGAAGTGGTGGTGGTGACAGTGGAACGATTGGATCTTGCCTTTTACTCTGCCGTTGACTTTGCTCGATTCCGCGAAGAGATTCTCGATGAACGGGAATTCAAAGAGAGGTATGCCAAGAAGCAACACGAAGCCAGACGTCAACGAGGCTACAGCATGATGGGAGCCAAGAGACTCCAGCGCAACCGCGAAGGACGACACTCCAAGCAGTCTATTCACACTATGCGAAATCATGCACAGCAAAAGGTCCAATAAGTCTATTTGGGTCTCGAACGGTACTCAGAGCTGCTACCAACCACAGCTCTCAGTTACAATGTACAATACGCATAGCCATGCATGATCCTGCTACCATACAATAGAATGTAAATAAACGAAATAAAAAGGATAGAATCAAAGCAATCAAAAAGCAAAACATCTCTGCAAGTGTTTCTTTACTGTAGCTCCATGGCGAGTGGCTTGATCATCAGCAAGATAAAACGTTGCGTTTTTCTAGCTAGCTCTCGTGGAAGAACTTGTAGCCGTAAGACCGACCCTATTCCCTTTTCGGGGCTGTGCGATGTTTTACATGCATCGGTCCATCCCCATAATGGCCTCCTGAGTCGAGTCCTAACATACCGAATACCGGTGTTGTAGCTGTCGTGCGACAGCCGCTGTGGTACCAGGTACATGTACTAGAGTACCGGTGATAGCTAGTATCGATTTCTTGAAGACATCCCTAACCCTGGCAAAATCGAGCAGAGTCAAAGTCGAGTGAGTCGAGCCGAGTGAACTTCAATCGCAGAAGGTTCCCACAAAAAGGTATCTTCTGTCCAGGCTCCATTCATCACACCCGCCGATTGCATTTGCCATGTAGAGAAGAGCAAAACGTTGGGAGATAAGCACGGGATTTCTTTAGCTAAAGGAAAGGAGAGAGACACAGAGACAGACAATACAGTATGGCAGCATGGTTGTGGTTGGAGGATTCTCAGTGAGGCTTGTGGAAGCCCACACCAAGACTCCATTTCTAGAACATGCGCACAACGGAACCGTCTACGCAGAGGTGGAACCAGACGCCGAATACCTGATCGAAGTCGAGTACGTTGGAGATGACATGGAGGGCAAAGTCCGCTATGAATGCACCGTGGATGGAAAAGAATTAGACTTTCAGACTACACTGGACCGAAGCGACCCGCCCTGCCCGATTGGGCTTCCCTCTTGTGATGAAGAGGGCGTCTGGAAGACAGTGGCATGGCGTTTTGCGAAGAGCACAGCAATCTCCGCAAAATTTACTTAATCCAGTCACTCTTTGCTAAAATTGTATGATTAGATCTACATGTCAAATTTTATAAAGATGGTAATAAGAGTCGCAGGTAACATCCATATTGTTGCCGTGGTTCCAGTTGAGGTCCTTGAAACACGGACATGGTCTCATGTCGGGATCGTAATCATTGACCAACAAATCGTCGATCCCTTTCTCCCCGGGCACGGTGGATTCAAAAGATTACTATTCTCGGAAATGTCAGTTTCACCTGAAATAGTTTTGTTCACATTTTGGATGTTAATTTCACTGAAATGGGTTATAATAGTTTCACGGCGTGGGTTAGTTTCACGGAAATGTTAGTTTATTTTATCATTTCCGTGAAACCAGCTAGAGTGAGTCACGTCCATTGACCTTGCCGGTACATGTTCCGCGTATTGATTCTTATTACTAACTATCATTTGTCCATTTGTTCCATGATTTTTACTAATAATCATTGTCCGCACAAGGGTTGTCTTGAGGGACAAATTTTGGGCTATGTGTTGAGCTGAGCCAGAAGCTTTTCGTAAAAGACCTGATGACGTGTCTGCAAGGTAGAGCATACCAGAGCAAGTAAGGTAGGACTAGCTAGAACCAGCCAAATCAAGAGGCCTTGAAATTGAATACCCAATCACTCAAGTCATGCCTCAAGACCTGCGTCAACAATTCCCTCAAGCTTGTGCGGACATTGGAATAAGTTTCCTCACAAACTGATCACGCAGGGAAGTTGCAAGCCTCCACATCCAACACAACCGCCCAGCTAGCCAGGTTTGCAACTGGAAGATAATATTAAAGTACAGCTTTCTTTGGATAAAGGAAAGAGACACAGAGACAGACAATACCGTAGCATGGTTGTGGTTGGAGGATTTTCAGTGCGGCTTGTGGAAGCCCTCACCAAGACACCATTTCTAGAACTTGCACACAACGGGACTATCTACGCAGAGGTGGAACCAGATGCCGAATACCTGATCGAAGTCGAGTACGTTGGAGATGACATAGAAGGCACAGTCCTCTATGAATGGACCGTAGATGGAAAAGAAGTGGACTTTCAAAAGACACTAGACCGAAGCAGCCCGCCCTACCTGATTGGGCTTCCCTATCGAGATGAAGAGGGCGTCCGCAAGAAAGTGGCATGGCGTTTTGCCAAGACCACAAGAATCTCCGGAAATAGCACAGGAAGCAATGCAGGTGGTGGCACATCTACTGGTGGCTCCAACAACATCTTTGGGACTGTCGTAGTTGACATATATGACACTCTTGAAGCGGGGAGAAAGAAACCATATCGCACCAAGCCCAAGCCCTATACGCCAAACTTTGAAGAATCTCCTCCTCCACGATCTCCATCTCCCACTGAACAGGAGAATGCAGAGGAACCGAAACCTACCAAGAAGGACGAGAAAAAGAGAGTCCGCTCTATTGTTGGAGAGACCAAGGTGACCAAGTCCTATCGCCCCATGCAAAGCTCCAGCGCCAGCCACACTGTGATTATCAAAAAGGCCGAGGCACGCATCAAAGCCCCCCCAAAGAAGAACATGGCGTACAAAATAGGGAAACGGTTGCAGCAAATTGAGATTAAATACCGGTACGTGACAGAACGGAATTCATGGAAACGCAAAAACTCAGTTGCATGTCCATTGCATTGGGTCAACTCTAAACCTCTCTGCTTTCAGCACGACCGTGGGTCTCATCCATGAGGGTGTTCTGGCCACGCCACCTTTCTGGGACATGTACCGCTTGGAATGCAAGGCAAAAGGTAGCAACCAAGGAGGCACACCCATGGAGGACATGTCTCATGTTCCGCGGAAGACGATTCGATTCAATGCCCGGTATGATGGAGGCTTGCTGGTCTGCCCCGCCAAAAAAGTGGATCTGTTTGACCTCACTGGATTGGATGATTAGAACGAATGTACCGTAGTCGGAGACCACGGTCTTTGCTATGCATCTGTTTGTACTGTACGCGGAAAGGTTACACAGCGAACGAATGAATGATAGCATGTTCCTGGGTTGGGCAGACCAACAACAGTGTTTCATTTAAAATAAAAAATCAAGATAGTGGTTTTAAAAGAGTCGCAGGTAACATAATGGTACTGAGGTCCTCGAACCACGGACGCAGTATGCGATGCTACGTGGTGCTCTCATGCCGGGATCGTAATAATTGTTATTCGTCCATGAACCTCGCGATCTCCTACGGTATGCGGCTCACACATAAGGACAAATCCACTGTTTGTCTTTCCTTGCTTTCTCCTGCACCATGGAACTAGCTTCCTGTGATCTTCTGCTGCCATTGCCAAATGTGCTACCTATTATTTGTCTTCATGTAGCTAGCTAGTAGTGCACTTTGGTCAACCGCCACTGTCCTTTGCAGACAGTTAGTGAGTTTCTGCAACATCCATTCTGCTCTGTGCCGTTGGTCTGTGTCTATGCAGGAATGGGAGCATGAGTTCGCTCCAAGTACACATACATGAAGAACGCGTGGTACTTTAGGCTTTGCTTTTCGCTCTTGTCAGTAGCTGAGGCAGCTGATCGAGATGTTCGGATTCGGCGAGTGGTGGCATTCGAAGCAACACGCCGCCGTTTAGCAATGTAGTCAAGCCAATTCCTCACTTTTACAGTGCATTCCGAGGAAAGTGGATTTCGCCTGGATGCAGGGCGACTTTTTGCGGGCGCGGGAATGACAGCAGCCACCAGGTACGAACATTGAAGCTTTGGCTGAAGCAACGTTCCAACCTTCTCAATACAGTTAGTTGTGCTACGTGTCCATCGTCTATTGCATTGTCATCCTTCTTCAATCACCCATGTCCCTTGCACAAAGAAAGAGATGGAGCATCAGTACACATCACAATGCCGAGTTGTTTCCCCGTTCCCGCAACTATCGGAACACGGCTGGATGCCGCCATCAACAACACGCACCACAGTAACTTTCGTGGACTGTTGCTTGGTGCAGACTAATGCCTGCTCCGTACGGTATCCCCTCGTTTTGATGAGACACTATTATTTTGTCAAAGAGGCAGATTTAAGCCTTCGAAGCTTCCTACATCCTCAACACGGGCGGCGCTGCAGCTGAGTAATAAGGGTCCAAAGATTGTATCGTCGTCCTTCTTCAATTGGTCATGTCCCTTGCACAAAGAGAATGAGCGCCAGTACATATCACGATGCTAGCTAGCTAGTTTTATTCCCGCAACTGCATATCGGAACACGGCTGGATTCCATAGCATCGTCAACAGCCAGCCATCAAAGAAAGTCCGGTGGACTGCAGATGCATCGATATCCAACAGATCTTTGCTTGGTGCAAACTAATGGCTGCTCCGTACGGTATCCTCTTGTTGATGATGAGATCCTTGTCAAAGAGATCTGCCTGTACGATGCACCGCTGTGGTGCCTGTAGTGCCTGAAAGCCTGGCTAGCTAGATATTCGTCCACCATTCTAAGTGAGCTCAGGCATGGAATTGCGAGCTAAAGTTTAGCTGATTGCTGCTATTGACTTTGCTTTGTATGGAGGAGGATGAGTGTTGTTATTCTATGTGAGTTATGGAGGGTAGCCATGGTCTATCTATATACATCTAATGAGGATCTATCTTGCATGGGTAGCTAGCTCGCTAACTAGCTTGTACGGTAGCCACTGGACTGACTAGCGCCTTTTGTCTCATATTGCGGAGTACGTTGGTCTGTTGATGCTGGTGATTTTGAGGCGTGCTCCGTACCCTCCTGGGTGTTGCCCTGCCATTAGGCGTTGACGGTAGTGGCGACGACGACTCTCCCTCGCAGTTGGCACTTTTGGCTCGTCGTAACCGTTGGACTCCATCTCGTTGAAATCGTGCTCTTCGATTGGCTTCACCTGTTGGCAACGGCCGTCGGTGTTGGGTTCGTTCTTCACTGCGAAACCGTCGGTAGTCTTCGGCTCCGTAAAAGAGCTCGGTAATGTTGGTAGCATCCAAATTTTCTACTGCCGCAACCACATTCAGAGCATCGTTGAAGCTCACTTTCTTTTTTAATGATGAGTGGAGAGGCGCTGTCTTGCGGCTATTGCTATTGCTATTGTTGGTGTTGGCGTTCATATTGCAGGGAGGGGCGGCAGTTGGATAGCACATGGTTGGTTGAGTCGAATGGAGTTGAGTGTTGCGTTGCTTTGGTATCTCAGTGATAGATAATGAGTGCAGTGCAGTGCAGTGGGAAAGCAGTGGTGGCAATTTTGGTACTCAGGTTTCTGACAGCTATCTTGAGTGTCTTCCGCATTCCGCATGCCAGAGAATGGTGAGCAGGAAGATGCTTTGCGAAAGATGACTATTGATACTCTATTGATAATGTCTCCATCTCCAAGAAGCAAGTGGGAGAATACTTGGGAACGCATGATTCAGTGACAAAAAGCATAATGAATTAACGGTCAAAAATCCCTGACGTATCGCCATCATTAAAATGATTAATCAATCTGTTCGTGGAGTTTAAATCTTGGCCCTCAAACCTCAAACTAGCTTTCCTCCTAGCTTACCTTTCTAACAAACAGTGCTCCAGTGGAAGCATATTTCCTAAATCGATCTTGGACTTATCAGAAAGTGGTCACACCTTGCTTGCTGAGCCACAGCAACAATCATTGTCACGTATACAGCCACAACAGCTGGATGGTTTGAAGTGACGACCGTCAATCTACCAGTACCGGAACACACGACACAGCAACACCTCAGTGTCCAAGAAGACAACTTTGAGATACAGGTAGATTTGGTAACAATATACAGTCGCCAAATCAATAGAGTATGCAAAGGTATAATAGGCTAAAGCATTTATTTACCTCAGCTACTGTTCTTAAGTTGTCTTCCAGACTCTGCATGCCGCCACAAAACCAACCTCGACTCGACTCAGAGTCAGCAGTCGGTAGCCCCGAGCCACTTTGTCTTTTTTTATTCAGAGCAGCACAGATACAGTACTGCACTGCCCAGCCCAGCCTAGTAGCTAGATAGCAAGCCAAAGCTCCCTTGCCTTGATTCCATTTCCGTATTGCATAGGTACAGAGTATTACGCTACCCTTGCTAGCTAGTACGTGAGTTTACTAGTTTGTTGCTTGCTTCCCCCCAAGTTAGCGAGCGACCTTGTACACCACAGCATCACGCTGGTAGGACACCCCAGCAGGCACTCCCCTCGTTGGTCCCGAGAGCAGCAGAGCTAGACTACGGAGCTACCGTAGACCGTAGACTACGGTAGCTTCCGTGCAGTACCGGTACCACCGCAGACTGCAACTACATGTAGCTAGTAGTCTAGGTTGAGTGACGAGTGGTCGGTGGAGTGTCGAGTGACAGTCGTCGTGACCTCCTGTACCAGCACTGGTACAGGCTTCGAACCCGCCGTGTGTGGAGGAACAGTTCGCGTCGATTCATTCGACTCAATTCGATATCATTCTTGCTTGGTGCGGTAACGGAGCGTGTTTTCGGTGAATGCAACTCGAACGGAACAAAAATTGAGTTGCTACGGTACTAAGTACTCGACGGACCAGTTTGCAATCCAGCTGTCTGCGTGCTTCAATGATGCAAGGTTTTGGTCGGTTGTGGCTGTTTTGATTACCGTTCATCGAGGACGGTGGAGGAACGGCTTTCCGTGTCGGCGGACCCGGAGCTTATCGTCGTTGCGTGCGTTCCCAGTTTGCTTGCTTGTTCCAGCCAGTTTGGGGGTAGCTACGAGTGTACGGTAGCGTACACGAGGTAGCAGTCGAAGCACACGGAGGCAACAAGCAACGACATGTATTCCAGACGGCTTTGCTAATAACGAATGAACTAACTATTAATCAATACTAGCTAGCAAAAGTCAAAACTGGCGACGAAGCGAACACAAACCCTTGACATCAGATCATTCCAGAAAAAACAATCAGCCAACGATTTCGCCTTATTGCCCTCTGGCCAAGCGGATGAGCACAAGAAGCGCAGGTAAGGTTCCGTACTAGTACGCACCGAAGCTAGCCAGCCTCAGAGTTCAACGCAGCGAAGGGATTGACCCATTCAATCCAGGTCGGAAAACAGCAATCCCAGTCTACTACCAGCACATCTCGTCGCACAAAGACTCGAAGAAAGTATCGTTGTTTGCTTTAGTTTAGACAACTTTCTCAACAAAACAAGCACCATCGCCCCCTTCTTGCTCGCCAACGATCAGCCACGGAAGAGAATCATCCGCCAGGCTCGTGAAGAATCGAATCACATTACATTATTCAAGCGGTGTCTTTCTTGACAACACCAATCACCGACCTTGCCATAACATCCATTTGCTTGGGTTCAAGCAAACGCAACAACAATAGACCCGCAACAAGTCGAAGGCCGAAAAATGATTCTTTCAGTGTGGTCAAGCAGATACACAATGATTCTTGTGAGCCTTGCCCTTGCAACTCTCCAAGGGCGAAATTGGCTCCTGATTTGGATTGCTTCCGTAGTTGTTTACTATCAATATTTCGCAGAGGAAGACTGAGCAAGCTGCTGCTGGATATCCATGGGCTTGCTTCGTTCCGCTGACTCGAAAGTTGCTCTCATCAAGGTCGAGCAATCTAGAAAGCAAGAGGCTTTGGTGAGAAAAGGACTGTTGGTGCGATTGGCTGCTGGCCAGCTAGCTGGTAGGGTTGCTCAAGCTTGAGCCCAGCCAGGTATTCGTTTCTGCCAAGCAAGCAAAGCCATGCCAGAGCGACAACAACGCAGCGGTGGTGAATCGAATCAGGACAGCCATGCTACATGTAGCAGAAAACAGGACCCAGAATAGTCACGGCGAGCGAGCAAAAAGCTAAGGAAGGAATGCACCGGCTGTTGTACAAGAAATGGCATCCCTCCCTATGGAGCAGGGCTGGTTGGGAACCAAAGCGGTCCACAGCAAACAATTCAATTGTGCATGAAAGAGGTTTGTAGCACTTTTAAAATAAACTGCTACCGTAACTAGCTAGATCAGATACGGTAGTTGCAGAAACTGAAACCGTTGGTAGGCACAGGTATGCATACATACACACCATGTTTTGTGGGCTGCATGCATGTTCCAGGATAGGGCGACATGTGGTTTGGCCGAAGTTTTTCAACCTGGATCACCAATCACCACCGGCGCCGGGACACCCAGTTCTTTGACTTATTCGGTATCGGTTCTGACTGACGGGGTTGTTTCTTCTTTTTCTGCTTCTTTGCCTTTTCCACCTTGGTTTCTCTGTTGGCCTCTTCCTTGGAACTTTCAGACAGGTCTCTCTGCCGTCTTTTCTTTCCACCGTCCGACGGATGGTTGCTTGTTCCGGATTTTTGGGCTTCCACCTTTGTCGCTTTGGTTGTCTCTGCTACCTCATTGTTGGGCTTGTAGACATGCTTGTCAGCTAATGTTTCATCAGCTTGCGCAACATTGGAGGATCGATTCTGCTCCAGCAGCTGGCTAGGTATCATCTCCCGTTGCTTTTCAACCTGCTTCCACTCTATTTGCTTTGCCTCTTTCTTTGCTGCTTTCCTTGCCGATTTTGCCTCTTTTCTTGCCCTTTTCGCCGCTCGCCTTGCCGCTTTCTGCTCCTCCTCTCTTTGCTTCGAGCATTCTTCTTCCTCCTCCATCGTTCTTTTCCTCTTCCCCAACTTTGTTCTTTTCCTCTCCCCCAACTTCTTGGAAGTCTCCACACAAGGCGATTCCTGTTGCTGATCATTGTCGGCAGTAGAATGATCGATGTGGGCAGGACTGCCGATGCTGCTGTTAGTCTTCGCATTGACCTTGCCAGCTGAGCTTTTATCTTTGTTGGATTCTTCGTTGATGGCTCTGGTGGAATCCTCAAAAGTTCGTCTGCCAACTTTGCTTTCTTGTTGGTTGGGACTGCCGGAGGCTGCTTCATTGGGATTGCCATCTTGACTGCCATCCATGATTGCAGGTTGCTTCTCAGCACTGCTGGTAGCATCAGTGCTGCTGGTAGTCGTGACATCCAGCTTGCCGGTTGGCCCATGGTCCTTGTTGGATTCTCCGATGCAGCTACTGCCAGGGGAGAAACTAGTGTTGATGGAACCCTCACGAGATTGGCTGGGGTCATTCTTGTCTTTGGGATGATCCCTGTAAACAGGGAAGGAACCATCGAGATTGTTATGTTGGGGTGCTGTGCAGTCCTTCATGTTGGATTTTCCACTGCTCCTGACCGGGATACTTTTTCTGGCGGTGGAAGTCTTCAGGTTGTCAGTTGTGCTGAACTCTTTGTCTTTGGGGTTGTCATTGCTATCAGTGATGGAGCCCATGTGGTTGTCGATAGGGATGGGTTCTTTTTGGTGGTTGCTGTTGCTGAGGGTAGTAGTGGTGGGATGGTTTTGGCTGTCGGTGTTGGTTTTTCCGTCAATGGCCTGGGCCTTTGTGTTGGTAGTGTCCTTGGTCCTGTCTTTGATGCTGGCAGCAAAATGGCTTCTTTTGTCAGGATCCTGGCTGCATGTATCACTGCTCGGAGACCTGGATGTGGCAAGGTGATTGTCGGCGTTGACATTTGCCTTGCAGTCCCCGGCGCTGCTGTTGTCAGTAGCTTCAGGCTTCAAGGTGATGTTCTTCTGCACATGGCAGGTGTTGGGGCTTCTTTCATCGTCCAGGCTGCTTCTCTCAACTTTCCGAGGGCGTGTGGTAGTAGATTTAGGCGTGTGGTTGTCTTTGATGTTGGAATTCTCACAGCTGCCGCTGTTGGTGTTTTGCAGAATGGGGATTGAGGATTCTCCAACGCTTGTCCTGTCGATGTGAAGAGCACTAGCTGTGAGGGATGCTGTGCTCCCGTTGTCATCCTTGCTCCTAGAGTTGCGTCCGTCGTTGGTATCAGAATTGTTGGTACCAGTGTTGTCGTCGTCGGTTGCCAGATGCTTGGGTGTGTTTTGCAGAGTTGGGATTGTGGTTTGGGAGAGCTCGCAACTTCTGCTGTCTGCGACAAGGGGACTCCTGGTCAACGTTGCAGGGTTGCGAATGTGGTGATCGGATTGGGAGTTACCGCATGCACTTCTACCAGTGTGCAGAGAACTGTTGCTAGTGCTGTTGCTAGTGATGTTGGTGCGGTGCTGGCCTCGTGCATCGTGCACGATGGGGGTGACTTTTCTGGCGGTTCGGTGGTCAATTTGACTGCCAGCCTTGGTGTTGGCGCCTCCACAACTGCTCCTGTCATCACCAGGAAGACCAGTGGTAACTGGCAAATCACATTGTTGCTTAGTGCGACCTTTTTCCCTGCTGATGGAGTCTGCATTCATGACAATCTTATTGTTACCATTGTGGGGACTGTTGGTGCTGACTGAGCCTGGTTGGGTGTCAGAGTGAACAAAGTTCGCCCCGCTGAGGTCTCCATGGCAGCCTACAATGTCGATGCTGGCGTTTATATCGTTTCGGTCATACGGAGGCTGGGTCGCAATGCTATAAGCGAGGCTTTCAGGGCTGCCAACACTTCTGACTTGTTCCTCTTCTCTAGTTTCCTTACTTCCAACTCCGTCAGTCACTGCTTCTTGTGCGAAGCCTGGGTCGTCTGCTGCATCTTCTCTTGCTTCTTCAGACACTGCTTCGGCTGCTGGTGTCTCTGTCAAGTCTGGGTTGTCTTTTGCATCTTTCTCGACCAATTCAGCATCACTAGTACCCACCTCTTCCGTTCCTTTCTTTGCTTCTTCCGACACTGCTTCAGCCGCTGGTTTCTCTGGCAAGTCTTTTGCACCCACTTCTTCCATCACTGCTTCAGCCACTGGTTTCTCTGGCAAGCCCGGGTTCTCTTGTACATCTCCGTGGGCCAATGCAGCGTCACTAGCACCCACCTCTTCAGCTCCTTTCTCTGCTTCTTCTTCCAGCACTGCTTCAGTCACTGGTTTCTCTGACAAGCCTTGGTTGTCTCTTGAATCTTCGTTGGCCAATGCAGCGTCACTAATACCCACTTCTTCCACTCCTTTCTCTGTTTCTTCTTCCAGCACTGCTTCAGCCGCATGTGTCTCTGGCAAGTCTGTGGCGCCCACTTCTTCCGCTTCTTTTGCTGGTTTCTCAGTCAAGTCTGGGTTGTCTTTCACATCTCCGTGGGCCAATGCAGTGTCACTAGCACCCACCTCTTCCATTCCTTTCTTTGCTTCATCCATCACTGCTTCAGCCACTGGTTTCTCTGACAAGTCTGGGTTGTCACCCGCTACCACTTCTTCCGCTCCTTGCTCTTCTTGTTTCTCCGTCTCTTCTACTTGTGCCTGTGGTTCACCTGCCGCCGCCACTGTTGTCTCTGCTTGTCGGTTGTTGTTGGTGGTGGTAGTGTCGCCTTGGACGGCCTCATTATTATTTCCAATAATGGAACCGTCGGTTTTTTGTTGTTGTTGTTGTTTGCTGGCTTGACGTCGTGGTGGCAGGCCCATCTTGGCGTATTTAATGTAACGTTGCTTAATCCAACTGGCACGTAACCGCGCCCAAATTCGTTTTCGGTTAGGTTTGTCCGCATCGGAGAGTGCTTTCAGAAAGCACTGGATGGCCTTGGGTGTCATTTTTACTCGCCCCTGTTTTTGACTCTGGAGCACCAACATGGCCTGTTCCACCGTCGGTAGGACAAACTCTTGCTGGTACTGGTAGTACGACAATGGGTTGCTTTTGTTGTTGTTATTAGTATTGCAGTCAAATTGTTTCTCGCAGGAGTACATTTGTTCGACTTGATTCCAAATGTCAAACTTGAATTGTGACTCGGGAAGGTCCACCCGTTCGTACTGCATGGCGTAGATCCCCACGAGGATCTGGACCATTTCTTGCAAGCGGATGAATGGGAGGATCCGAATGGTGAGCAATGCCGCCAAAAGTTGTCGCGTGCATGGATGTTTGAGTGGAAGAATCCAGTCGTCGCCATCTTTAGTGTCGTCATCATCGTTGGGTTGGTCTTGGGTTCTACCAATCAACACCTTGAGGACCTGTTTCCGAAAAAGGTCAAAGACCAAGTTTGCCAGGTGGTTATTTGTGTGCTGGTGCTGGTGTATGGTAGCCCTGTCTAGCTGAAAGTCAATGGTGGCCAATCCCCGGAGCAAATGAATGTATCCAGGACCTGGCATAGTGTCGAATCTCAAGAGTGGATACAGGTGATGGGGCGCGCGGACCATGTTTCCAAACATGATTGCCAATATGAAACAAGGATGATGCATCATGTTGGATTCGTGACAGAGTTGACGGTAGCTCTGTAGCACTTGCCATACAAACGCAATGCCGTCACTTCGCTTGATGGATGCAAAAAGTTGGTGAAACATGACGAGGCGATAAAAGGTAGAAGGACACGCGCCCTTGACGGTGGATATTTTGTAGACGATCAATGGACCTACAGGCTCCCCTTGTGGAAGCTCCATGAGATTGAGATCTTCTGGCAGACCTTTTCTTCTTGTATTCATCCAACGCCTGTGCAAATTGTTCACGTCTCTCCATTCCTTGCTTGCCTTGTAAGCCGTCCTCTTGTCTGGCGTATGCTCCATGTACTCCACGTCCACAGCCTCAATGCAGTTAAAGGGATGCAACTTGTGAAACGCTCGATGAAATCGGGCCATTAAATTCTGACCCTTGAGCAATTCCTCACATTCCTGAGAGTAGATACAGTCGAATTTGTTTGTGTCACCACAGACAGAGTCGTTGTCATCGCTGTCGTCGTCATTGCGAAAGAAGCGATCGTCATCATCTTCATCCTTGTTGGACGAGCCATTAACGAGAGAAGGCGCCTCTCCACACATGTCCTTTGTGGCTTTTTCGTCGCGGTTGTCCTGGTTGTTGTCCTCCATTTCGTCACACAAAACCTTCTCAAACTTCGTCACTAGTGCTAGACTAGCTAGTGGGTGTTGTTCTCCAGTCAGTTAGTTAGTTATCCGTATGGTGGTCGGTAGAAGTAAGTGCAGTAGTAGTAGTAGTAGTAGAAGTCTCTTGCTAAAAGTGAGAAGTGCTGAAGAAGTGAGGGGCCTCGTTTTGGCCAATGCTGAAAATAAGGCGCGAAGAGCATCGCTCTGCGTGCGGTATTCAAAGCACATAATATCCTTCGCCGCCTCGAGCTTCCTCGTCATAAATCATGCAACTCAATTCGCCCCTCTAGCCAGCTACCGTACTTAGCTAAATCCATTATAGTTGCTGTGAGCTACTCTAGCTAGATGGAGCAAGGAGCACTGTCTTGCTCACAGTAACGGTACCGGTATGCTAACTAGGAGGCTCCAAATCCAGGTCGTTGCATCCAATATTCGGGTCCATAACACAAAAAGATCTCCTCGTCCTTGGAAATGTCCCGTGTGGACACCAAGACCATGTGACAGTCCAAGATCGATTGTTCCATGGCATTGGCTCGATCTGGAGACTCGTTCAAGTACTGCGTGACAATCTCCTTGACCGTCATGGGGATATGAAATGTCCCATCGTTGCAAAGATGACCCAAATAGGCCGAGTCGCCATCCAACGACGGCAATCCCACCAAACCCATCATCTCGTCGTCGTTACCATTATTATTCATCGAAAGCAAATAGTCGGGATCCCAATCACCATCTTGCTCCTCTTGTTTCGTGTGATCCCCCCAGTATACTTGTGGTTCTTCATCATCATCATCATCAAAGTCCACAATTCCGTCTCCTGGATAACACGTCAACAGAGTACCGGCGGGACAGTTGCAACTTGCAAACAGGCCTCGGCCCGCAATGGGAGACACGCCCACATGTGTTCGATGCAACGAAATGGACGACAGGCGGGAATTCAGGACTTGAAACGGACTGCCGGCCTTGTCTTCCAAAGCTTGTTGGAGCTTGTCCGTGAGTGATTCAATGGTATCATCCGAGGAGGAGGAGTATCTTGTGGTTCTTGTCGGTACCGGTACAGTTACACCCTGCCGTGACGAAGCTGCGAAAGCCACAGTTGTAGCAGTCAAGAAAGAGAACGCAAACATCACAATTATTCATATGGTTGCTAGCTACAGTAGTACGCTGTATGCTTTGGAGCTGTTCGTGGCACGTTGGAGGTGTGTGGTGGTTTGTGCGGGTGCCGTTGCAGCCCAAAAATTTGAGAATCCGATGATAAAGAAAGGATCTCTCGCACGAACGAAGAACACGAAGGATCCAGTTATGTTTGTACGATGCGACGACGACAGGCAATACAATACAAGGCGAAACTCGTACTACTCTATCTTTCATAGCTACGGTATGCTTTCTACAGTTTGTTCATCCTCGCTGTTGTCCTCCTTGCTTCCGTGTTATTGCCAAGCATCGCTGTCATCATCACTGTCAAGGATCACACTTCCTTCCGAACCAAGTTGGTTCAGACCACTGTGGAAAAAGCCTTGAAGGCTTGCCTCAGCCTGCTCCAGTTTCGCTTGTGCCTTGATCACCATTCGGTTGGCCCACTGCTTTCGTAGTTCCTGGTTCTCTTGCATCAAAGGCATTTGTTCACGATCCCACTGCGTCAAACCCTGATAATCATCCAATTTCTTGCATGCATTGAAGATTCCCGCCAAGGCACCCAAGTGCCATGGTTTCTGAGACAGAACAATTTCGTAGAGATCCTTGCTCTCTTGAAAGCGTCCTTGCATAAAGCACAAGGATCCCAGCAAGTGAATCGGTGCAACAAAGCTGAGATCGTCATGACCTTTAATCAACGACACTAACAACAGTTCGGCTTGACGGAGGGCCCCTTGTAGCATGAGCATCTCAATCATCTGGAGGGCCCGAGCAGTATCGGGACCCCGTTCTTGGACCCACAGATTGGACAATTCGGTTGCCGCCGCATCACCCTGGCCTAGTTCTTGGAGCAAGGCAATCTCCTTCTCGAGTCGCGCTCGCTTCATGGCGGTCAACGGTCGTGGAGCAGCGCTGTTTTGCTTTTCTTGCAGTTCTTGGACGAACCCCGAGATTGCGGACGAACGTCCTCCGCCCAGTGGTATCGGTCCATCTACAATGAATTGAATCTCACCTACCGCCTGATGCTGTTGGTCCGATCTTGATGACGAAGATGCAACATCTTCCGGATTCTTCTGCTGATCGTTGTTTTCATTGTCATCATCTTCCTCCAGGATGAGAATAATTTGATTGTACAAGCGGCTGCTGCTGCCGCTCAAAGTACGGGTGCGAAGTATGCCGTTGCTAGCAATGATACCCTTGTTTGTGTGGCCGCGTGGAACAAAGGCTTGTGCTCGCCACAAGAACGAGCCAACAAGCATCGCTTCCGCAAGGAATGAAAGTCTCATGGTGTCACCGTGTGTGTGCTAGCTAGTACCGGTAGCTAGCTTTCAACTTTTGGTCTTTCGATCTGAAAACTATGAGCTCGCATTTTGTGGACGACCGATTGCGTGCTGGTGCCACTCCAACCAAGATTTGGAGGCCATCGAATTCTGAATGTTTCTTTCACTCGAGTGACGTCAATCCGAACGAAAGCCGAAGTGCAGTTGATACCGTATCAGTCCAGCAGAGCTGTGTGAAGATACTGTTGCCTTAGAGAGAGTTTATCAATAACGGTCAAGGTAGAGCACGCATGGATCAGCTCTTTCTTCTATTGCTGCGGTCTGCATAACCATTCTTACCTCAGGCAGCACAGCGGGTTGT